TCTCCATATTTATTGATTTTGGTTTTCTTTTCTTTTTGTGTATGTGTATGTTTTCTTTTGATTTGTCTTTTATATGATTTTTAAAATAAATATGAATTTTAGAAAAGAAAAACAATAAGAGAAAAGAATGCAAACATTAGAAGGCACTCTGTAAAAGTACAAATCAATTTCCCTTCTCCAGCTTGCTAATTACCAGATTAATTGGATCAATCACCTATGACAGGGGTGTCAAACTGAAGGTGCTTAGAACTGGTCCACAGGGCTGCCCTGAAAACAGCAAAGGACCAGCCCCTGGTGTCTCTGCCGGTGAAACGCACCTCGGGAGGGTCACATGTGCACCCCCCAGCTCCATTTTCACTGGCAAAGGGCTGCAGGAGGCCTTTGCAGCCAAAAATGGAGCTCAGGAACCTGTTTTTGCTAGCAGAGCGCTTGGGTCACCACAGCCGCCCCCGACATGAATGGCTTTGGCTGGCCATGCCCACTCTGGCCCCTCGAGGTCAAACACAACCCTGATGCGGCCCTCAGTGAAATCAAGTTTGACACCCCTGACCTATCATCTCTTAACTGGCATGTCTAAGGGCATTTGGGTGGGGAAAGCTGATTAATGTCTTTTTTATATATAAAATCAGGAATGTGAATGTGATAACAGTCACAAACACAGTGATGGGTAAGCTCTGTCCTTATTATGAATTTAGACCTTCTTCTTAAGGATTACGTGTTCCTGCTTCTCTAACGAGAAACAAATCTGGTATTAACTTTACCATAAGCATTATTTGTAGTACTGTTCTCTAAAAACAAATACATTTCATCCCCAAACTCACTGCAGTCTCTGATAGTGACAGTGTTATTAAATGGTGGGGCAAATTTATTTCAAATGCTGGTTTGTTATTATTTCAAATCATACTGGTGTGTCCTGACCAGCTGCATCTGCTAGGCTTCTCCTGAAATGGAAGCAACCACAATCCATATCCAGAAAGGCTTATATATGTCTAGCCTAAGACCTCTCACCCCTCTTTTTAATGTCAGTATTAGAAACCAGTGTTTGTCACTGACTTTTGGACTCTGGCTTCTAAATTCCTTGCACTCTTATACAGGGAAAAACTAAGTAGAAGGAATTGAGAAGTCTGCTCTGGCACACTTGCTACTCCCTAACATGCCAGAATTCTCAGCAGCTTATGACAGTATTTTGTGTGAATACTATCCAGTGAGCAATATACATTAATCTGCTACACTCATTTATAACTCTAAAATTAGGAAAAGCGCTTGAGACAACCATGTTAACAATTTTTTCAAAAAGTAACACTTTCCGCTTGAGTGTTAACAAAACATCATAGTTGTACCTCACTGATTCATAGAAAATTGTCTGCATAGCAAATGGATAAGAACTGCATAGCTAGTGGATTATGTGATTAACCACTTTGAAAGTCTAGTTTTCGCAATGGTTGCCTTTAAAGAAGGTTATCAACCATAACATCTGAAGGGGCCAAGATTTCCAGTCTTTGCCTTTAAGCTTACACATTAAATCTTAAACATTAAATCTGTAGTCCTTACTTTTAGAGATTTGGGTCTCTCTTTCTCTCTCTTCTGCTTTCAGTTGTGCTTCTGAAACTTGTACCTGATCCATTGATCATGTTGCTTCCTCAAATCAGCTTCCAATTAGTTTTCTTTTGAATGTTTCTGCATATTATTATTGCATTTATCTGAGAGCTAAAATGGTAGGTTTTCTCCAAAATAGTTTGATTTGAAAGCGGGAAGGTTGCCTTAAATTTGCTGAGAATGCAATAGTGGAAGTAGAGAATATTTTCCCTTACCTAGTCTTATTTTTTCAGGTGGTGCCTTCTTAAATTTAGGATCTTCTTCTTACTGTACTTTTGCCAAGATAGAACAATTCAAGAATACAATGCAATTTTTAGAAAACTTTTCATTCTGAGATAGAGCGTACAAGTTGAAATTTGGAACATCACTTTTGGCTGTCTCACAGAATTACTTTCTTTCTGTTGAGTTTATGGCACAAAATAACAAAACAAAATAACAGAATAACAGAGTTGGAAGGGATCTTGGAGGTCTTCTAGCCCACCCCCGTGCTCAGGCAGAAAACCCTATATATATATATATATATTTTAGACAAATGGTAGTCCAATCTCTTCTTAAAGACTTAAAGTCTTTCCACTGATTAATTGTTCTCACTGTCAGGAAATTTCTCCTTAATTCCAAGTTGCTTCTTTCCTGGATTAGTTTCCATCCATTGCTTCTTGTCCTGCTTTCAGGGGCTTTGTAAAATAGGTTGATTCCTTCTTCTTTGTGGCAGCCCCTTAGATACTGGAACACTGTCACCCCCTGGTCCTTCTTTTCACTAAACTAGACAGACCCAAAAGCAAATATTTGTCAATGTGAGATCAGCCTCTGGCAGAAGAAAAGCACATTATTGCTCAAGAAGTATGAATGAAAGTCCACACCCGCGGTCTGTTTGATCTCCCTTTCATGAAAGCCATAATTGATTCCCCCTCCCCCATTCTGCCTTTCTTGAGATCAGATAACCTCTTGTGGATTGAATAGATATTCTTCCACCTGCTGCATCTCACATCTGCTTCCATTAGCTAATTTCTATTTAGATGTATCTATTACTTATTTATGGTCATCTGGATCAATCAAAAGATGCATTTGATGAAACTCGAATCAACCCTTATCTGGAAGTTATGGCTTCTCTCACCCCCTCCCATATTGTAGCTACTATATGTACTGTAATCATCATCATCATCGTAAGCTACCTAATAAGTAACTTACCTGAATCACTACAAGTTTTGTAATGTAGCCAAGGCAGAATTTTGATTCTTGAACACTTGGGGGCATATAATACAAGAGAGAGAAAGGGAAGAGGAGGAGGAGGAGGACTTACCTCATAAAATGAGTATCTAAAGCAGCAAAGTTAAGACTGATCAAAATAGGATGCAAAATTGTTCTTGATATTATCTACGCCTGATAATGCCTGATATGGCTAATAAATTTTTCATCATAGGAAAATTAGCTCAAAGACTGCATACTTCAAAAAAATCCTATAGTTTATCATTCACTTGACTTGATTGGGGTAGAATTTTCTGTCACAGTACTAAACATGAAGTCTTCTGAAAGGGACTGTAATGAATGTGATCCCGAGGGTCAGTCCAGCCATCTTCCCTATATTTCTATGAAAAAAGTTTAAGTAAAAACCAAATGTTCACCATCTTTTTATCTAGTGATTAGTGGTGGGGTTTTTTTTAGCTTTTCATGTACACAAAGGACTCAGGGGTAAGCCATAACAAACAAAAATTACATTTTAGCTCTGAGTCAGTATTCTGTGATCTTTCAGCATTTTGCAAGACCGTGAGATGACTTCATAGGAATTGCCTTTGTTGCATCTTTGTCGGCAGCTCTTCGATGACAAGTATCAATTGCTATGGAGAGGCATAAAGCAGGCAGGAGTCATGGCAATATTGCTTAGTGGTATCCTGGCTCTCAACCAGTCCCTCTTCTCCCCTGCTGCAGTTTTTGCTATCAATCCTTCCTCTATTGATTTTCCATGAAATTGGGGGGAGGGGATCTTATCAAAATCTCTTCCAGCAGTGGTACAGAGCTAGCCATGATTTTAACATTGATATGGACCACAGAGGGCAAGAAATGGTCTGCCCTGAGCCTCCATTTGAAAAATTTCCTCAAAAATCTTCTATTAGACCAGGCTTTTCTAATAACAAAAGCTGAGTTCCTGTGAGCAAAGAAGTAGATAGTGGCAGGGAGAAGCTGCTAAAGCTTTTTCCCCAGATGCCACTTCTCAATTCTACGCTTGTTATTTGCAAAACTATTAAAACTACTAAGCGTTCAACTGTCCCAAATCATTTTCTTAAAAGTGGTTTGTGCTTAGCCCTTGGGTAAAATAAACATTTACTGCTATTGTGGCTCTAGTTATGCCTCCTCCCCCAAAGAGTAGCAGTACACTTGTGTACACACACACACACACACACACACACACACACACACACACACACACGGTCTGAGTTGACTGAAAAAGATTTTTATCAGCAGTAAGAAACAGATTCCAGTACATGCCTTTCCTTTTTATAGGAAAGCAGTCTTGCAGCCCCTCATTTGCCTGTTTATTTCAGGCACTTTTTAGACGTACTTGTGTTCCTCTCAGTTTCTTCCTATTCAGAAGACAAAAGACCTTCTTTCTCTAGTATCTGTTATGTATAAATTGGCTGTCCTATCCTTTTGTCTGCTTCCAGCTGATCAGTTTGAACTTTTATCCTAGCCAACTTGGACCCTTTGTTTGTGTGAGGAGTTATTGTGAGCGGAATGTGCCAATGGGTTCAGCAGTAATTTCTATGATTATCACGCACAAAAATTCTAGTCCCTAAAACATTGCCAATTTTCATAGTACTTAATCTCCATGTAAGGCAGTGGTGGGATTCAATTTTTTTTACTACCGGTTCTGTGGGCGTGGCTTGTTTGGTGGGCGTGGCTTGGTGGTCATGTGCCTGGGTGGGCATGGCCAAGTCAAGGGCAAGGTGGTGTTTCACCTTGCTGCGAGTGACGTCGAGTTGGCCATGCCCACTCAGTCACATGACCAATGCTGCAGAGACAGGGTGATTTACTATGTACATTTCCCCCCCTCCACCCTTGGGCTGACAAAAAAAAAAAGCCCAACTAAAGATCATGACAGCCTGCCTAGTCTGCCTGCTGAATGGGTTTTGTTTTGGGGTGGTTTTTGTTTTGTTTTTTGCCAGAAGCCCCTTGGAGATAAATTTACAACACCAAATCTTACTGTACCTCATTGTTGTGGCACTGTCTGTTGCTGCTGTGGGTGTCTGGCTGCCCAAGTAAAAAACCGTTCTGGCTCAGGGCGACTGTGAAGAGCAAGAGAGGAAGCCAAGGCGCTCGCCTCATAGCAGTCAACTTTGTTCTGTCTCGCTCCAGTTAGGCGCTCCCAGTGTGCACAAGGAGCGTGAAAGGAGGCAGACACCGCACGGATGCGGTTTTTTGCCCAAGACTTCTCGTGTATTCAGGGACTACACCTCTCCCAACGATGTGTTGGCGGCGATCTAACAGACATCTTGCAGCTCTTAAAGATTGACTTTAAGAGCGCCCCCATGGAAGAAACCGAGAACGAGAGCAAAAGTAGCGGCGGCAGGGGCAACAGGAGCGTGTGATGGGTCCCTCCGCGGTCCCCTCCAGGGGGACAGCCAGGGCTTCGGCACCTCCTCTTTTCCTCAGAGGCTCAGTGTCTGCCTCCTTTCATACTCCTTGTGGAGGGACACATGCCCGTCACCCCGCCACTACTACTCATCTCTTTCAGCCTAGCCCAGCCTGGCCAGCCAGTAGGTAGCCACATGTCCCTGAGCTTCTCACCTCCCCTTGTTGTGAGATGCCTGTGTCTGCTGCATGCTTTTTTCAGTGCGGCTGCAGTCCAGCAGTCACATTGAAAAAAGCATGCCCTCTTCTATGTGCCGGGCTCAGCAAGTCCGAGTACATGCGCATAGAACAAAGTGGTGCCGGACTGTGGGGGAGTGGAGCGAAGCCAGAGATCAGTAGCTCTTTTGCAACGCAAGAAGCCTCCCCCAACCAGCCAGCTCCTCTCCTCCTCCTCAGCCTGTTTGTTCTGTATGGCCGAGGAGGAGGAGAGCAACTGGCTAAAGGAGCGGCTGTTGGAGGCGACTCTTTTTCCATCTCCAGCTGCCTCTTTCAGTGCAGAAAACCTCCCCCAACTGGCCAGCTGGTCTCCTCCTCCTCCGCCATACAGAACAAACAGGCAGAGAAAGAGACCAGCCGGCTGATTGGCGGAGGCTTCTTGCACTGCGAAAGAGGTGGCTACTGATTTCCGGCTCCATTCCGCTTCTCCATTGGTCCAGTGCAGCCCTGTTCTATGCACCAGCTGCTCGGACTTGCTGGGCCCAGCACATAGAACAGGGCGTGCTAAAGGCATCTCGCGACAAGAGGGGTGAGAAGCCCCAGGACATATGGCCACCTGTTGGCTGGCCGGGCTGGGCCGGGCTGGAAGAGGTGCATCTGCCAGGAGAAGGAATAAAAGACGCTCCGGGAGGGCGGGCAGGCAGGCGAGCGGATGTCCCAGGGCTGTTGCACATGCACACTGCATGTGTAGCAGCTATACATGCAGTGTGCATGTGCAGCAGCCCTGGGACATCCGCCCTAGCTGCACCAGGGCCGCCACATGGTAGGAGAGCGACCGGGACAAGTGAGCGACCAGGCAACTGGGTCGGGGGCGTGGCCAGCCAGGGGTCGCCACCGGTTCGGTGACCTACGCCAAATCACCACTACCTGTTCGCCCAAACCGGTGTGAACCGGTTGAATACCACCTCTGATGCAAGGTATATAAAAAGAATCAAGATTAGATGTGGACTTCTGGTTGTCGGCTTCGGTGACAGCAGGGATTCGCCTTCTCTGCGATCCCTGCTGTGCTAGCCGCCTTGGTGCCTCCGATCCTGACGGATTTGGAGGGTAAGGCTGCCCTGTTGGGGCAGCTGAAGATAGGGGGGATCCGGACGGGGGTGAGGGGCGTCGCAACCCCCCCCCCCAGCCGGCAATAACCGCCTTCTCTCAAGACGGTGCAGCGGTGGTCTTTTATGGCCACCATAAAGAAGCCGGCAATTGGATAAAGAATGCGCAGGAGGGAGAAGGAGTTGTTTTTTTTTAAAGAAAGTTTGTTCTTGGTCGAACTGGGACCTTAAGGATATATTTAACACCTGGGAAAGTAATGACTTGGAAGCTATAATGTTCCCGATTGATGTTTTCAGCTGCGAAGAAAAGTGACGAAAAGGGGAAGTCACTCTCCCTCCCTTATGGAATTAACAAATGGACAAGGGAAACCAGCCTTTTGATAGAAGGTAAAACCTAAACTCCTTTGTTATAAGTGGGAAGGGAGAGGCTTGGGAAAACAAATTTTTACTCTAAGACTCTGCTGGAGGAGATGACTTGAAGATAAAGAGAATAGAAATTAATTCTAAGAAAGACTTAAAGCACAGATTGGACGTTTTTTCTTTCCCTAATTTGACTTCACCCCTAGAAGAGAAATTGTAAAAAGAAGAAGCTTGTACTCTGCCTGGACTGTTTGATATCTGTGGGACTTTGGGACTTTTGGGAGCTGTTTTAAGTTTGGAAATAACTGATTGGTTTAAGAAGAGGATACAGAAAGAGAAGAAGAAACAGTTTAAAATGGCTCTATCTCTTGATGAACTAAAAAAACAATATTTAAAAATAAATAAAGAAGGCAAAGATGTTATGGGAGAAGCCCTTTGTTTCCTAGATATGGCGCTTGTCATGTGTCAGCAAATTAAACAACAGCTGGAAGAAGCCGAGGAAGAAGAAGCCATTTTTAATGAACTAAATGGTGTGACTAAGAAAGAAAGGAGAAAGAGAGGAGCGAAAAGGAAGGACTTAAGAAATAAAAAAATGTTTATGAAAGAGAAAAAGAAGATGCAAAAACAACAGAATGCTAGAAAGCAAAAGGAAAGAGGAATGCAACAGAAAGGGGAAATCAAGAAGGCAGAGGTTTGGAGAGGAGGGGGTAAAAAGTTTAGGAGGGCTAAGAAGGAAAGAGAAAAGTGGGGAAAAAGTTACAAAGGTATAAGACAAGATGGAAAAAAGGAAACTTTTTTCAGGGATAATGGGTAATATATGGGATTTTTTTTTTAAAAAAAAGGGGGGATTCTGCAAAGTACACATGAGTATTGTAATAGTGGTATTTGTATTATAAGTAGATAATCAGAACTTTTTAAGATCTAATAAAAGACTAAAATATCAAGGTATAACTTTAAAAGGTTTAATAATGAATGATAAGTTTTAATAAAATACTAAAGGGAATGTTTAAAATATTAGTTTGAATATAGAGTTTAATGGATTAATGTGTTGATTGTTATGGATTTATTATTGTAGTATTGGTTTTTGAAATAGTAGAATGTACTAAGCAGAATCTGATTGGGATTTAGGTGTTATTTTAAATTTTAATTTAGGGGAATGATAGAAAGGCATCATACTCCGATTAGTGATTCCAGGGGAAACTATTCTTTCTTAAATTGGAAATGAGACAGATGTAAATGGAGAAATGGACAAAAGATATAAAAATATTTTTTTTTTAAAAGCAAGATTAAATATATAAAACAGAATTAAGATGAGGCAAAAGTGGAGAGGAGTTATATAATAGATATAGAATGGTAAATAAGATGGGTAATGGTATATAAGAAGAGCATGAATTCAATTGAGTCCATACAAAAAGAGGCCAAGTTACTTTCTAGAAGAAAGTTTTATGTTTTTATGTCTATGTTTTATGTGTGTGTGTTTAATTAAGAATTAAACAATAAAATCTCGGAGGAAGACTAGATGAGAATAATTATAAACAAGCCAGAGGAAAATATAAAGTTGATGACTGGATAGCAGATAAATCAGAAAGGAAATATGATTGAATAATGATTAAAGAGAAACAATGTGGAATTTGGTAAAGGGAATTTACGTGTTTATATGGAAATGGGATAAATTATAAGTACGTGATATAAAGCAATATGTTACCTGCCTTGTAAGGATCTACAATGGAAAGAGGTTTTATGTTTTTAATGTTTAATGATGTTTTGTTTTGTTTGTTTGTTTGTAAAATCAATAAAACTTGTTTAAAAAAAAAAGATTATATGTAAAATGGTTAAAAATTAATTAATTAATTTGTATCACACTTTCCTCTAAGGACCCGAGAACAATATTTCAGCTCCTTTTATATTAAGTAGCATAAAGTAGCATTTTTAGACTGAAAAGACTTGGTGAACTGAGTTAGAGGGAAACAGTATATAGTTTAAAAATTGACTGAAACTTGATCCTGGGAATCTCATATGTAGATCTAACATAAATGAGCAAAAAGCCAGCAGAATTAGATCCTGGAATGGGGGGAAACCATTGTTTACACCCAGTTCCATGCTACATACCAAGGTAATGTGACTTTTACACAAAGGCTGCTTTGGTTTGGTTTATTCTGATAGCCTGGTGACAGCTTTTGGCACAATTCAGTAAGGTTTTTAAATGTGGGGCAAGCTTAGGAGGCTAAGTCCCATATTTGCCTGGGATAAATGGAAAAGCATTAACAATTGCATTGAAATAAAGGCAAAGTGAAGCTTTCTGCCATCCACAGTATTTATAATATGCTTATATTGTATATAATATGCTTACATTATGCAGATGGCGACTTGATTGGGGTAAAATTTTCTGTCACAGTACTAAACATGAAGTCTTCCGAAAGGGACTGTAATGAATGTGATCCCGAGGGTCAGTCCAGCCATCTTCCCTATATTTCTATGAAAAAAGTTTAAGTAAAAAAGACAAAAGTGAAAGGATCAATCATTTATAATTGTTTATCTTAATTCTAATTCTTATAGGATATGTACTATCTTATTTACAAGATGAAGAGAAGACTGCCCCTTTGTGGTGGCCATCTACATGTTTTAGTCATGCACTTTACTGCTGAATATGCACATTTAAAGTATTTCTATCTGGATATGACACATTTTTGCAGTTGATTGGCAAAGAAAGGAAATGATAGCAAGTGTGATAATTAAATGTGTGTGTATGTGTAAGTATGAACGTATGCATGTATGTATGTACAGTATGTATGTATGTGTCATATTTCTTAACTACCCATCTCATTCGGGTGTACAAATGTAAACAGATAAAGACTATATGATTGAACTCTCCAGTGATTGGTTGCAGGGAACACGCGTGTGGCTGAAGGAACCTGATTATATGTGGCCCTGCACTGTTGGATCCTGTGCTAATGGCTCCATGCTCTTCACTTCAGACTACGGTGAGGTAAGTGAAATTTAAGACTGTAATGAACCACTGAAGAAAGGCCTCTTGGATAATCCCCTTGCCTATTTGAGCTAAATTAAAAAGAAAAATACATTGGGAGACACAACTGATACCTGACATACTGCCTAAGATGGCCAAGTGATGAGTAAAGTCACCTTGCCTGAACAGGCATATTTTTCTTAAGATTTTGCTCCCCATTCTAACTTGCAAATTGGTTTTTCTGAATTGCTGTTAAACTCTTTGAACCTGAAACAAAGCACACAAGGTCTCAGAAAAGACAGCAACGCACCTCAGCGGACTGGGGCAGGCTCTTGAAGCTTCCAAGCAATTCACACTTCTGCAGCTGGCCAGGTTTGAAATCGGAGATAATCCTGTGTTAATACCTTGAATCGCCGATCTTCCATTTTCTCAAGGCAAATCCTGCCCTTCTGAATCTGGTGTCTTAGAGAGGGAGAGAGGCATGCATTTCCCCCTGCATATATAGATAAGATGATCTAATGCAGATCAGTTATTTTTTAATGTGACCTAACTGCCATTACAACATCTCAATGAAGCTTGCTAAAAGAGCAATAGAAAGATGGATATCCTTTCGGTGTGTGTGTTTTTATATATTAGCAAGTACTAGTAGGGAATCAAAGATGCAGATGCAGGCATTTAATATATTGTCCCTGTGGAAACTAACAATCCATTATGGCATTTACATGTTTGAAGCATGAACCCAAGAACAGAACAGTCCAAATCTTCAGATTTTTGTACACTGGACTCTTTAGCTGCTGTGTATGCTGTGTGCGCTCTTTAGCCCTGTGTGTAAACCAATGATAAGGAATTCAGTTTAAAAATCTCTCTCCACATTTCAACTCTTTCCTCTATTTCCACCATGCTGACAGGCCAGTGTTTTGTCTGGATCACATTATCATGATCCCTGATTGAAGAAGTCCCCCACTTCTTTACTATTCATGAGCTGATTAAAAAAAAGGAAGAAACCCTATAATTTACCATTTTACCAGGAGCCCTGGTGGCACAATGGTTAGAGTACAATATTGCAGGCTAACTCTGCCCACTGCCAGGAGTTCACTCCTGACCAGCTCAAGGTTGACTCAGCCTTCCATCCTTCCAAGATTGGAAAAATGAGGACCCAGTTTGTTGGGGATAATATGTTGACATTGTAAACCACTCAGAGCTATAAAGTAGAATGGAGCAGTATATAAGTGTAAAGGCTAAGGACTATGGTTATTTTCCTGTCTTGAGGCCTAGAAAGTAAAAGTGGCAAAAACTTATCAATTTCACATTTTTTTTAAAAAAAGCCATCCCAGCTTTTCATTGTTTCACTGATGAATTAATTTAAAAAATAATGGCCAGAGGATAGTAATTGGTGATTGGAACAGAGAAGGTGATTCTGATAAGTGTATGGTTGCCAGTTCCAGTGAAGAGGGGGCACAATAGGAAAACTGAATTAGCAGAAGTTAAAAAAATACCTTTGATGTGTAGGAGAAAATAATGGGCAGATTTTGCCTTTTGCAGTGGCCTAGGTGTGGGTAGCAGACAATGTTATGTGTTGCTGCCCTTAAGAAATGGTCAGTGGCCTGTGAGTCAACCAGATGAATTCTTCCTTATTATTAAATTAGATCATTGTAAAATGTTGCATAGGGGGCTACTCTTGAAACACTGCAACTGGCACAAAATGGACTAGCAGGATTCTTTCACAGAGTCTGCATTTGTGTTCAGCATCAAAGGTTCTATTTTCTATTCCATCATTTATAAAAAATAGGAATATGAGACAGGATTTTAACTGCAGCAGTATCTGGCTTTATGGAGTTATTTCCAAAGAAGTTGTACATGCTCCATCCCTGATGATTTTAAGTGCTTGGTGCTGCAGTGATTATTGTCTTTAAATAGTAGTGTACTCATGTCTGCATTCTTCACTCTTTCTGACTTCTCAATCTGAACGTGATTCCTTTCTTAATATTGTTCTAATGATTTTATTAATTTTGATTTCTTGGAAGGTCTTTTTAGGGGTACCATATGATCCTGAAAGATTTGCTTTAAAAACGTGGGAATATAAGAAATTCATGCTGCAAGCACACATATGATTACTAGCTGGCTTACCCTGCTTTTGATGTTCAGATCTAACACAAGTCCTTTACTATCACATCTAGTTCAGCATATGAGTGTCACACAGAATATATGTTCATTTTGCAGTGTTGCATCTCTCGATTTTTCCCTTCCCCCTAGGTGTTCTGCTATGTACAAGGCTCTCTGCCAAAAGAAAAAATTCTGCCAATGCATCAGTCAAGTGTAGACGGTGTGGAGGACATGTCCATGCTGGGAGACCTTCATGAGGCTGCCATCTTGCTCAACCTGCACCAGCGTTACAAGCAGAACCACATCTATGTGAGTGAACAAATTAGACTGGTGCCCTGCTAATCTTTCCAACAGAGTGCTAAACAACATCCTCAAAAGAGAAGTTACCTGCATGACTGTATCCTCATCCTATGAGAGGTAGACTATGAGATGATATCCAGGTATGCAGGAGCCATGCCTTTCTGAAGTGTGCTTTGATGCTTTGCATGTCTTTGGGTCATGAACACAGAAGCTTGGGTTAGAGACCTCTGAGAATATTTGGATAGCTTCTTAGTAAAACTAGGGCCATGCTAATCTATCATCAAATGGAATCAAATAGTAGAATGGATTGGTGGCATATACGGTACATTACGTTTTTGAATAACCACTCAAATTTTGAAAAATGCAGCCTGCATATGAGTTGAATCACAAACATAAATGTTCATGTGCTTGCCAGATTTCAGCCTTCTTTCTCAACTTTAGTTTTCTATTTGCAAAGAGAAAGTAAGTGTTTTTACATGATATACCCCTTTCCTGTATTCCCAAGAATTGTTAATATCCATAGTGCAATCCAAAGTTTCTGCTGTTTAATTCCTTCTTTTGGCATTAAATATCCAATTTCTACCTGCTTCTGTAAATATGGAAGGGAGATGAGGAGGAGCAGGTAATTCTGTATCAAGCAAGATGACTGTGAGATTATCTGGGAGCACAAGGAAAGGGATGAGGCATATTCCCTTCTTACCTGTGCCCAAGCGTTCTTAAATTCTGATATTGAAATGTGGATCTTAAGTCTGTTGCATCGCAACGGTTACTAAGGCAACAAGGACTGAAGGCATTTTATATTCCAGTAAATGATCAATTAAATGACCTGTTTTCTGGGAAGCGTCTTCTTTTGGAGTGAGCAAGGGACTTGCAAATAATGCATTATGCTGTCTAGTGATAACCTATTTGATTTTTTTTTAACCATTTGCACCCGGCTTACAATTGCACCCTCACTCACCTCTCAGCAAAAGTTCTTTAGAGTCCAGAGCTCATAATCCACCAGCTTTCATTTTGTCTGCTGCTCTTTTACGTCAGATTGTTTTTCCTTCCCCTCCCCTCCTGTCCCCTCCCCTCCCCTTTTGTCAGAAAGGGAATGAGATCAACAACATTTAAATCATGCTCTTTTCTGATTCAGAACCTCCGCATGCATTGCCTTAAGGGACAGATAGAATTACAGAGGTGAATCTACATCCAGTTTTTGTGTATTGCATTGTGTGTGTGTGTAATATCTGATGCCAGCTGCTCTCTACATAATGAAGTGACATCACTACACTGCTCATTTCTTTGGCCCTGCTGGGCAGTGCTATAAAAGAGGGGGAGGCAGGAGCCAGGCACTGCACAATTTATTGCTTGTGTTAGTAAGAAGAAAGACGGCAGCAGTTCTAGGTGTATTTAAAAGATTACATATAGCAATCCTGTAATACTTGAGTTCAGCCAGAGATCATTTCTATGCAAAAGGCTTTTTGTAAAAGAACCAGAGGAAACATTGTAATGAGAGGGGTGTTTGTGACGGTTTTTATGTTTTGTTTATTGGAAAAGGCAGACCAAAATCTTCTCTTTAAAGGAAAGAGATTGTAGAAAATTTAACTGATTTTTTGTAAAAAAAAAAAAAAAAGTTTTTATTAGCTATTAGTCATTTTATTAAGGAAAAAAAATTACAAGATGTATGAAAAATCGGGTAACTGTACACTTCTTGAATATATTGGGCTTGCGTTTCCTAAGGTGGAACAGCTTGTTACCTCAAAAAAACCATTACTGTAGTGGAAAATCATTGGTGATCAGCCAGTCTTGCTTAAATCCAGGGATTTGGTTATCTTGGGGATCAGAAATGACTAGAAGAATAATGGATGACACTTGTGGATGACATTAAAAAGAACAAGCTTTCTAGGTGTTTGATAGCAAAATGATGAATGTTGCAGCTCTGATTTAAAAAACAAAACGAAGATCTTGGAGGTTGAAACTTCTTATGTTTATTGATAACTCAGAAGTATTCAATTTTTGTATACTGCTGAGCAGGTTTGGAATTAGAGAAGTCTATGATGATCACCTTCACTAAGTTTTTGCAATGGTTGACATGCCTGCCATTCCCTCTGCCTTTTTTGTTGAGGAAAAGAGATGTCCATTATTTTTTAATGAAGTTGGGCACACTTTCAAACAAAGCAGCCATAGCTTTCATCATCATCTTACTTTACACAATGCTTTTGAGCCTTCCTAGATCTCTATAAGCTTCCTTCAAAAACAAGAATATGTGTAGTTGGCAGCCCACTACTTTGTTTTCCTGACCATTGGAAAAAATACAAGGATAATTCAGTATAGAAGAGAGTGTCTGGGTGGCCCTGGGCTGACGGATAGGGAACAATTGCATCAGTTACGGTAAAGTACATCGGAATTTAATCACATTCATATTTGCCCCGGCAGCTACATTTTGAAGGCATCCTTAACATGTTCTCAACATTCCAGATAAATCAACTGGGCTATTAGGGTGTCTCATCCCTTAAGTAGTATCATATAGGGCAAGAAAATAAAATAATGGGGTATTAGAACTCATTTCCTGATTCTTAAAACATGTATAGGCATGAGGCTTTAATTCCTTGCTAAGACTACGGAAGTAAATAGTAAAAGTTTCTCCTGTTCAATGACTATATGCTGAGGCACACAGAATGCTGTTAGTTTCCTACCAAAGTAATACCTATTTATCTACTTGCATTTGCAAGCTTTTGAACTCTGGGCAGGAGCTGGCATAGGAGCTTACCCCTTCATGCAGTGTCAAACTGTCAACCTTCTGGTTAACAGTTAATCAGCATCTTAACTGCTAGGCCACCACACCCCTGAGACTATGGAGACACATATACACATGCTATTTTCCACTTAACATTTTCTATGTAATGCCCCATTTTCAGTTTCAGTGGTTTCTGCTTCTGAGGAAATAGGATGAAATCCTAAAAATAGAAGATGTGTCCTGTTTCACTTTTCATGAAACATTCAATAAAGAACAGTATTAGAGCAGTAGTCTTTAAGAAGATCTCAGTTTGGAAAGTAATTCAAATTCTTGGCTTCTAAAAGGTTTATTCTTCAGATTTGTATGAATTATATTTCTATCTATTAAAGAAGATACTTTGGTCTTCATCCTGAATTTGGCTAATGAGTTCATATTGTATTCTGATCTTCAGATACTTTAGATTTATCTATCACCTCAGATTGTGCAGAGTCTTAATAGCTTTCTCCAACGATGTATTTTTAGAAACCTTTAATGTACCCTCTTATGTTCCTTTTTATAATGAACTGACAAGGTTTTATCCTTTAACATTTCACTCGATATATTGTTTTCACTTATACCCATTGATTTCTCCCCTGTCAATAATGGAATCTCCATTCTCGATAATAGCTTTTGATGTATTCTTAAAAAATACCTCCTGGTCAAAAGCTCATCACTGAATCCATGCTGGTTCTACGATCAAGCTACATATTCAGCAGAAGATGGTCACTTTGCTCAATTCTCCTCAGAATCTCAATGTATTTTCCCATATGGGGCATAGCTGAACAGAAATGGTAATTTCCATATTAAAAACTGCCTAGGAGAAATAATGAAACATACTCATTATCATGACCCCCTATAGTACCATTACACAAAGATGAAGGCCAGGGGAGCATCTAAAATTTGTCATAGCAGTTTTACATCTCTGGGAGAGCTTAATTGAGGATTCTGATCTTGTTCAAAGCACTGTTTGCTTGCCTCTGCAAAACAACTGAGAAGGGTATTTGTAGCATGGGGAGTGCCCTGCTGCAGTTTTTAAGCACAAGGAGACTTTTTCTTAAAAGTGCTAATTGAGTAAGAGAGACTGTTATTCTGATTTATTGTGCATATCAATTTCTTCATTCTGAATCCCAGAGCACTCCAGAAGAACACTTTTAACTCTTTCAGATTTGGTACAATTAGCATAACTTAAAGTCAAGTATCATGGTTCTCAAGCATGGAGTCCAAAGATAATTTAGTTTAAAAGGGGAAGTTGCCACCCATGACTTTGCTGTAGGATGAATGAATGAGGCTGATTATGTACTGTGTTCCTTTCATGTCCTGCTCTGCTCCCTGTTGATATCTTTAATTTAAAATTATATTTAATGGAAAGAGTGTGCTGAATATCACGGGAATATCTTTTCAAGTGGTGAAGAGTAGTGCCATGCTAGTTGGGAGGTGACGAAAGTTGCAATCACATGTACTTTGAGTGTACTATATTAAGAAGGGTTGTATGGAGAAACATTAAAACAAATTTGCAATAACTACCAGCAGGTATTTTTCGTTCTGCTTTGCTGCAGTTATGTTTTTAATACAATAAAGAAACAAGAGATCGTTCTTTTGATTATTTGGTATTCTGTAGATCTGGCTTCCTATTTATTCTTTAAAGGCTTCTCTTTTTTTTTTAATAATTCAAATCTTTATTCATTTTTCTTTTTGACTGGGGTTCCTGATTTCTGGATCCTTTATGTAACATGAAAGAGGCAACCTAGGGTACAGCCTAATTGCATAATTACCCATACTTCTGCCAACTATATTAAGAACGGTGGTAACAGAATATGGGGATTCTTATAACCTAAGCTGGGCTGGTAGGACCTCTGGTTCAATGGATTAGAAAAGCATAAAACTGTGGAATGTTGATATAATAACATGGGTGCGAATTTCTGTTAGGTTCCTAAAGAATTAATTGGAGGTTACATAATACATTATAATATATTTGGGTGAGTTGATTCCTGGGTGGCAAGGCTTGTTCACATGTATTTGTATACAGAAACACACAATTTGCCCAGATTGTTCTTTTCTATACCAGAGTTACCACTTGTATTAAGGGCTCAGGTAAGGTTTTTCTTTAACTTCAAACACACACACCCTCCTTCTACAGCAGGGCTGTCAAACTCACAGCCTGTGGGCCGGATGCGCCACACACTGGCCATGTTCACACCAGATCTAGTGAAGGGGGGAAAAGTTGTGATATGTCACGTGATGCTGTTGTAATGATGTGAGTTTGACACCCCTGCTCTATAGCATTTCTGATAAAGGTTGCTGGATCCTACCATACAATAATAATGGAAAATGCAAGTGAGGTCTCCCATTCAGGGTTTACTTGCAGAAGACCAATCTAAGTTCCCAGAACAAATGAAGGCAGAAACTTTTAACGTCTTCCCTCCCTTCCAATGCTTCTATGTTCTTTGGAACTAGCATTCAGCTATCTTGTTAACTTCACAAACCACACTTCCTTCCAAATTATCAGTTTTTAAGAAAACCTAAAAAACCCAAAATGCTTTGCCTTCCCTCTCTTCCCTTGCAGACAAGCATCGGTTCTATCCTGGTTTCTGTGAATCCCTACAAACCCATTGCTGGGCTGTACGATGCGTCCGCCATTGACTTGTACCGACAGCACTGCCTGGGGGAGCTGCCCCCTCATATTTTTGCCACAGCCAGTGAGTGCTACAGCTGCCTCTGGAGGCGTCATGACAGCCAATGCATTCTAATCAGGTGAGAGAAGTAATGAGGCTACAAGCTGCTCCTTCCCAATTTGTCCCACTGCTGGTACTGAAAAATAGGTGAAAACTCCAGAATCATTCTGTCTATTAACAGTGGAGAAAGTGGAGCAGGAAAGACAGAGAGTACCAAATTGCTGCTAAAGTTTCTGTCAGCCATGAGCCAGTTCTCCTTGGGTAGCTCTGCTTTGGAGAAGTCCACCCATGTGGAGGAAGCCATCCTCGAGAGCAGGTAAAAGGAACTCTGTTGTGGACAAGAAATGGGGAAATGGGGATATTGTTTCTCAAGAGGCACATCATGAGAATGATGACATTTGACATCCTCAATGTCAGGGACATACAGCCCTAGGTTGCAGCCTTTTGTGTGCTCTGTTGCACAGGAGCTCTGAGAAGAGGCAAGATTTCTTATTCCTTGGGATATTGTTGCAGTCAGTATGGAGAATCTTTTGGGAAATCATGTCCAGCCTCATTGAATTCTCCCAAGGGACTTGAAACAACAAACCACCTACCTTAAAACAAGAACTTTTCTGCACTAAAAGAGGATGTACAATGTGTAAAATCAAGAATATTTGCATTTTCTTTCTGCTTCTGTTAGTTATAAGGCCAGTAAAGATCAAGGCACACAAATGTTATCATGCATTTTTGAGGTTATCATTACAGTTTTCAAGGCTACAAACTTTCTTTTAGCAAAAGCTTTGTCAACATCTAAATATATCATATAACCAGACTTGTATTATTGAAAAATATGTTCTGTGTAAATGTTCCTGCCAAACAAATCTAATTTTCTTTTTTTCACTAAAGCCCAGTCCTGGAAGCTTTTGGAAATGCCAAGACAGTTTATAACAACAATTCTAGCCGCTTTGGCAAATTCATCCAGCTACATTTTTCTCCGCATGGGCATATCCAGGGAGGGAGAGTCACGGACTGTATCCTTTATTTGAATGGCAGCTCTTCAGATATTGCTCACCTCTAGATTAAGAAAGAATGGAACCAATAACCCCTCTGTACAGTTAATTTGTAGATGACAGTGATGTAGATGATGAAGCAGCCTTCTGCAAATTCCATAAATGAGGTGGAGAGATTACACTATAAATACTTTTTTATGAAATTCTCCCAGCTCTCCATCAATGGCATTTTTCTCTTTCAAAGTTCAGCAAAAAAAAAATGGTAACTTTTTAATTCGTTAGATTTAGGAAACAAAACATCGCTTATAATTTAGGTACAACAGTGTTTGAATTCATTTCCAAGGTTATTTTTGCCAGCTATCAGAGAATATGTTATAAGAGAGTCTTAATGGCATTTATTTCTTAACTTGTTGCTCAGATTTATTGGAAAAGGTGAGTGAAGTTTGTTCTCATTTGTTTTGTTTTGTTTTTCCAACACGCCTCCTTATATGAGTGGTGAAAAAGCAACCAGGGAATGATATCGGACACAGCATCATTGGGTATTCTCAGCAAAACTGGACTATGTCCCTAGCAATTGGCAAATGTTTTGTTTAGATACATTTCTAATTAGTTCTTTATCATCTCAGAAACAAGCTTCCGATGCTTCTCTTTTCCAGGATAGTATATTTAATTTCTCTGTTGTATTAATGTTGCTCAGTGTGTACAGCTATACCCTGCATTGACTCAGACATTCATCACCTCCAGTGCATTTTATTTTAGGACTGAAAAAGTCAAAGGGAAGTTTTCTGGAAATAAGAATATGAGAGTCTAAAATACTTCTACTTGCAATCAGGCAGGCTGAGACTAACGACTAGATCAGTGTTTCTCAACCCTAACAACTTTAAGATTTGTGACTAACTCCCAGAATTCTCCAGTGAGCAGATTGACTGGGGAATTCTAGGAGTTGAAACCATACATATTAAAGTCACTAAGGTTGAAAAATGCTGACCTAGATGACACGAGCAAAGAGGCAGCATGAGCATATTCAGCAAAACAAACAAACTTGCTTTACAACCCCTATTGTGTAGATGCAACCGTAGGAAATTTTGATGAAAGGTAGTACAAGTTTTCATTTTTTACCAATGATGCAAACATTTGCTTACTTTTAATGAAGCACCTCGTTTGATACACAACAGAGAAGGAATGGTATTAAGAGTAATAGACCATGACTGTGATATGTAATTTACTTCATCCTGCATAGATATCTACCCATTTAAATGGGAAAAAATGTGGACACCATTCAGGATTTTTGTATATTGGAGAAAAAGTTGTGAAGCCAATGTGCTTCGTTTTCCTTAAAGCACCCAAACACGGTGCGTATGAATATTGGGAATGTGTATTGAGTTTCTGCTAACTGCTTTCTGTTTTCCTTTTACAGAACAGGGTGGTTCACCAGAACCCAGGAGAACGTAATTATCACATTTTCTATGCATTATTAGCTGGTGTCAGCAGGGAACAAAGAGGTAATAGTATTTCCCAAAGGTCCTCATTGCTATGCAGTGGATGCAATTTAAAGCAGCAGTGCTAACCTATAAAGCCCTACATGACCTGGTGCAAATGATCTACAGGTCCGCATTCTCCCATTGGAACCAGCCAAATTCTATTTGGAAGAAACCATTGGGGAGCGGGGGTGGCAAGGTTCAGTGCTGCTGCTTTTGAATGACAGTACTGGTCTTTTAGAACAGCCTCCCAGGGGTTACCCAGTTGGCACCCACCCTAATTGCCTTCTGGAAGTATTTAAAAACAGAGGTTTTTTTTAGGGCTTTGGAGCCATTATTCCTATTGGTAACCAGTGTAGGGCTTACAGTATTGGTGTAATCTGTTTCTATTGGCAAACGCCAGCTACCACATGAGCCACTGTACCATGAACCAACTGCAGCTTTCAAGCGGTCTTCATGTACCACATGTTGCAATCGTCTTAATGGCTGCTCACAAAAGTGTGAATCAATGTAGTAAGGTCCTTCTATCCCAAGTAGAACAATAGGTGCACCATGACCTATACCTGCTATTTGAGCAGGAGCTGTAAGTTCCAGGAGGATACTCCACACAAACAAGTTATAGACTTGTTTCCTCAAATATGAAATACCACTGGAGCAGACAAAGAATCTTGATAAACAGTAACTCTATCTTGCTAGAGGATAAGAGAGGAAAGAAGTCCAACCTCTGTGGCACCCTGCAAGAGAATATCCACCAGGCCAATTTCTCCTTCCTAATTGCTAGTGACTGGAATCAGTCACTGAGGAAGAAGCAGAACCAGTCCAATCCTCAATTCCCATAGGCAGTCTAGAAGAAAACCGTGGTCAATTGTATCAAAGGGTCGCTGAGAGGTTCACAAGACTGGGTGCACTATCCTCATCCAGGTCCTGACAAAACTAACCCACTAGTGTAATCAACATTGTCTCCATTCCACTGGAGTGCACCACATTTGACTCCCCACCACCATTTCATCAACCTTCCCCTAGAAGCGAAATATGGGGGCCAAATAATGGTCTAACAGCTCTGGATCCACAGCCAGGATGGGCTGTGCCACAGCCTCTTTCAAGGCCAACAACATCATTCCCTCCCACAGTGAGGCATTAACAATTTCCTGGATTCAGAAAGCTACCTCTTCCCCATTTGTCCAAAGGAGCAAGGAGAGGGGTAGATCTAGTCCATTAGTGACGGAAAATGTTCTAGAGTGGTGGTCGCCAACCTTTTGGACCTCAGGGACCACCAAGCTCAAATTTTAAATCCCACAGATCAGAGACCCTGGGAAAATCCCCCCAAAAGTCTGCAGGACTTCCCTAGCCCATTTTCCTACCAATTGATAGTTCTTTATTTGGGATCGCAGGATACCATCTCCAGCTCCATTCTCAGGGGGAGAGAGAGACAGAGACAGAGAGAGAGAGAGACTTTTGGCTTTATGCAAGGAAAGCAGCAGAAGCAGCAAAAGTCTTCCTTTGTCTCCTGGCGGAGTTTGGGGGAGAGAAAGAAAGACTTTTGCTGCTTTCCTTGAATGCAGCCAAAAGCAGAAGAAAGAAAGAAGCGGGAAGAAGCAGCCTGGTGGCCAGGCAAGACCAGATGCGTGGGGCAAGTTCCCCCCTGTACCCTTTCCCCCCTCCCTTCACTACCTCGTGTTGTTCGCAATGCAAGCGACACAAGCCTTGTGTTTCCGTGGGCCATATGGGTGGCGCAGCCTTGTGTTCCCAGACCTCCTGGATTAATTGCTTTGGGGGTGACATTTCTCTGCGGACCACCAAAATTCTCTCGTGGACCACCGGTGGTCCCCAGCCCACTGGTTGATGACCACTGTTCTAGAGAGTACCCCATCCACTTTATCCAAGGTCAAAGGAATTCCATGTGTCTAAGCAAGATGATGATCCCATTCTGTGTCTATGTAATTCATTCTTCTTGCAGGTGAAATGAAAGCAAGAGAGTCTCAAACTTGTCAATCCAGCTTCTGTTTTAGGTTTTGCACTTGAGGGACTAAGGGGGCTGGTGTTAGTATTGCATCTGATCATAACTCTCGTCTCAGCTCTCTTCTAAACAGTGGTGCAGCCCCAAGTTCCAGCAGTGAGGTGGGATTACTCCTCCACTGATTGCATTACAGTATACCAAAACTGAGCAGTGACTAAATTTCTCAAAATATCCCCATGTCAGTCATATTCTGTCCATTGATTAGGATGTGCCATTTCAAGCAGCTGTTTCTAGAGAGAATATGTTTAGGTATGCAAATCAAGGGACCAGACAAGATACTGTTACTAGCCAGCAAGTGGTCACAGGTTGGCCGAACGTTTTCTGCATTCTGCTATTGGCTACGAAAGGCAGAACTGATTGGCTGCCCGTTCTCTGCGAATCATATAGACTCACCAATGTATAATCAGGTCTGATTATAGCATCGTGATGTCAGCAAATATAGCAACTAAGATAAATCCTTGCTGGGTTTTTAAGCAGAATTAGAAAAGTAGAGAAAATGAAACCGTTAATTTATGTACTCTGGCCTTCTAGTCACCTGCAGTTCATTTTCCTTTTTGTTTTGAATTCCCATAAACTCGATGTCTTGCAGGGTGATTTTTTTTTTCCTCCCCAGAATTTCCTTCTTTCCCTGAAAAAGATGGAATGGGTCTGTCAGCTACAATAATCTGCTATATCTTCTCAGTTACCTTTTTCTCCTATTGCTTTGCTCTGTCTTCATAAACATGTTCAGATAAGTGTGTCGGAAAGCCTGTTTCCATCTTAATATGCTGCATTAACCATAGCTGTAGATCTACAGGAAAAACAACAGGGTTGCTTCAGAAAGACAAAAACGTTATTAGAATTATTTGTGGTCTTACATTAAAATTCATGTAATTGATGAGATTTGCCTATTTAGGCTGATAGATCTCAAAGTTCATGACCAAGTCTCACGTTCCCAGCATCATTTGTGGATATGCCTGAAACACATGTCAAATGTAGAGTATTGTGGAAATCAGACTGAAATTAGTATTGTAATAAATATTGCTGGAGGAAAAAAAAAACATCGGGAACACATCTGATTCTTCGCCTGGTCAGCCTCTGATGGAGATGCTACTGACAGAACAATCAGGAACAATCTGTATTTCAGATTTCCAGCTGTATTTTCTAGTATGCCAGTAAGTAGGTTTAGACATATTTTCCAGTTAAGTGCCTGGAAAATATTGTAGCTTATGAGATAGAGGTTTAAGTAGTATTCTTACCCTAAAGGCAAGGCAGCCATTTTTAAATAAAAGCAGCTTCACCAAATCGCATGTTGAGTTGGGAAACTGCAGCAAGAATAGACACATAAATCCTTTGTCTACATACTACAAATATTTTCCACTCAAAATTCATCCCTTTTCCAGTTGAATTTACCAGCCCAGGAAAAAATATGCATTCAAACTCAAAATACTGTCCTCCCAAGACTGCTATTCATTCAAAGAAACCAAAGAAAGCTATTTGTCTCACTTCCCTGCATTTATATGTATCAATGCTTTTCCAATAAGCAGAATCCTATCAACTCTTTCTTTCGCACAGAGGAACACTTTAACTGATGGACTGATTTTATGCCATCAAATCAGTGTTGACTTAGCGACCATATAAGTGGATTTTCCCCAGGAGTGGAACATCTGACCACCTTCTCCTCTTTACATTAGTTTTATTTCCCTGCAGGCAGGATATTTATTTCGGCAGTGCTGGCCATGCACGGCTAATCAGTCTACTGTTTTGCATGTTTTGTTTCATCCTGCAGGGTTAAGCGGGGAATGTTAATATGTGCTACTTTTGGGTTCAGAACATGGGAAAAAAAAAACAGGCTGCTTAATGTGTGCTTTTGGCTCATGTTCGCTGGTCTCCTTTCTCTGTGTTCATTGCCTTTGCTTCTTTTCTCTGTCCTTCTGCTCTGGTCCTTAACTGTTGTATTTCTCCTTCTGGGAGCTGCTTTTTTATAGAAGGCCTCCACTTGCTGGAACCCAAGAACTATCGTTACCTCAACCAGTCTGGCTGTATAATCAACGAGGACCTGGATGACCAAGAGATGTTCAGCAAAGTTATGGTGGGTTTCTTCCTTGACTTCCCAGGCAAAATTTGGTGAATGGATTCCTCTGCTCCTCCACCCCACCCTGTTTTTAAAAAAAGAAAAACGTGCCAGTTGCTTCTTTGCATGAAGGCAGATTGTTGGGGGGGAGCAAAATGCCCACAGGCTAAGAGGGTTTTGCACTCTTGAATGTGGTGCCTGATAATGATGTGCATTGTTTAATGACAATTAGAGTCTATTTAGACTGAAGTAACATAATTTGAAGAGAAATCTCATCTTCCCACCAGTATTTTGTCTTTCTGTTTCTTGAATGCCTGCTTTATCATTCTTGTTCCTTTTACTTGGAGGAAATATCTGAGGAAATCATTTAGTCTGCAAATATCTGGATACTATTTTTCAAGGTGGAGAAAGTAAGAGACAAAATAATAAGGCATTTATTATTTATAGAGTGCTTTAAAAGTGAAGTCCTTCTGTAGAAGCTAAATAACAAAAGTAGGCAATGGATAAGAAACAGGCATACAAAGGGAGGGATCAGGAGGGAATTATCCTAATCAAATGCCTCAAAAAATAAGTGGATCTTATTACAATTACTTTGCAGATCTAAAAACCATTAAGTCTAAATCCTCTACTTAATAAGATGCAGTTATGATCATTTTCTGTTGTAATTATTATTCCTGTATGTGATTCAGTAAATCTGTAGAAGCTCAAGTATTCATTATCTCCAGGAAAAAAAATCAGGAATATTGGAATCCCAAAATGTGAAGCCATACCATTGCTAACATGGTGCTTTTGTTAAAAAAAGAAAATATTAGCTGAGTAAATTGAGATCAGATTGTAATATTTATTTTACAGCATGACAAATATTGATTGTTTGCTGCCTGTGTAACTCAAAAACGTTGAGAATAAGTTTCCGTTTAATAAAAATTGGGGAACAACAGTTTGTTGGCAAGAATTAAAGAATTATTCAAGGAAGCAAGTTGTATGTTGACTCTGTTACTACAACAATTTACTATTTGGCCATAAACAATTGGAAATCAATTGGTACCCCTATGTATCATGAGCTGCTAATTCCAGGATATTATAACTTACCTTTGCACTTTATAAGAAACATGAAAGTTGTAATAAGAATTTAGGAACATGTGAGTGAGAGCTATGATTTGTTTTGGTATTATTGAAATATTAAGGTTCCATTCCACACAATTGAGAGTTACATTCCTCAAACCTCTTGAAAGTAAATTTCACTACATGTTGTAGTGCTCCTTCCTACTGTGGGTTTGGATATGTAACTTTAATTTATAACATCATTACAGAGAATATAGAGAGAACATCTTTACAGAGGATGTACAAATGTACAGAGATTTTTCTTAATAAATTATGGAGAAGATGAGTGTATTAGCATAGCTTTTGAATTATCATCTTACAACCAGAGTAAGAGCAAGGCAAGCATTCCAAGCAAGGCTTTTATTATGATTCCTCCTTCATGGAATTTGTTTTTCCAGTGCTACTTTGCATAATATTTTTAAACACAATAGTGCCAAGTAACTGGAAGCACTAGTAGCTATCTGTACAGAAACACCTGGCTTCTTGAAAGTATCATAATGATTCTGAATGTGTTTTGAACAGACTGCATTTGAAATCATGGGATTCAGTTCTGAAGAGATCAGAGACGTTTTCAAACTTATATCTGGCATTCTACAACTTGGAAACATTGAGTTCATGACGGCTGGAGGAGCTCAGATTACCACAAAAACTGGTACGTGATGCTTATTGTGAATGAATCCTCACCTGGAATCTGCTCTTCCCTCATAATTTTGATGCATATCCATAATTAAGCAAGTAGACGATGGCAATTGTGGCCATTTTATATTTTTCTGCATTGTTGACAGGTAAATGGATTCCCAGGGATACAGCTATTTTCCAATTTAAAATTTTAAAAAAAAATGCAAGTTGGTTATGAAAGGGTTTATGTATGTATCTTGCCTAACCAATCTGTTATTAAACTTCTCAGTCTTAGTAGATCCATGTTCTCTTTCCATTTAGTTGCTTAACAAATAAAAAAAGTATTTTAGCACCAAAGTGGAAAATAAGAGCTTGTCTTTTAAAGTATATGTTATACAGAGCAATTTTCTTCCCTTCTGAAGTGCCAATTAACTCTGGGTTTTCCACCTTGAGGAACAAGGATCTTTCAATGAAATTTTGGGAAAATAAATATTTCAGAGCTGTTGTCACATACTAATAAAGTCTTCTTAGCATAAGATCTTCACCGTTGTTGCTTAGTTTCCACTTTGAAGAAATTTGTGTAACTTATGCTTACTATCAGAAAAAGAAGTACCATCTCTTATTCTCAGATCTCAATTGTCCTGTCTCCTTAGTGCTGCATAATGTCAGTGAACTGCTTGGCTTGGACACCTTCCAGCTGTCTGAGGTACTTACTCAAAGATCCATGTTTCTACGTGGGGAGGAAATCAGCTCTCCCCTCACTGTGGAACAGGTAAGTTAGTCATTAGCTGCTTTACAGTTCATATTTGCTATGAAGGAAGATTGCCCCTGGATGGCAGCATTCCCATGAGCATTGAGGGATGCCTTGATTTGATGATGCATTACTTATTCCCAGAAGAGAAAGATTCCTGGAATATTCTTCGTGCTTCAGGATTTAAGAATAAGCCTGGGTAATAAAGGCAGGTATGAGAATGGAAGAGAGAATGGGTGGATCAGCTTTGTTAACAGAACCATTGCCATGGATATTTATACAATGTAAGCGAGGAAATGTGGGACAATGTTTATGAAAAAATTAATACAGGGATTTTGCAGAACTCATTCCTGCAAACTACACTAGTAAAAACTCTTTGTAGAAGATGCAGCCTATTTACATCAGAAGAATTCTGCTGATGTATTGGCTGAGAAACAAGGTGGATATGGTATGGTGTATCTTTCTTTTCACTAGCTTTCCTCTAAAGCAGCGGGACCCCAATACTGTTGCTTGCTTTCGTCTAGAAAGCTGCCTGTTAACACATAGCATGGCAATGTTTGACACAGACCACAGTCTTTTCGCTAGGTTCCATGAAATGGCGCAGAGAAGTTCAATGGATTTTGTATGTGGTGTAAATTCTAAGCAAAGAAAAAAGTACAAAATATTTTATTAGGAAGTCAGAGAATTCTTGTAAGTTTTGAATGAGGATGAAAATCAAGAGCTCCTTGAGTCAAGCTTGACTTCTGGTGGATTTCTAGACACACTCATGTAGTTTGCTTGACAGAAATATGGAAATATTTAATCATTGCCTTCTTCTGGGATATTTTTCATTTTCCCCATCTAGGCACAGTCCAGATAATTCCTACTTGTACTCTACTGAGCTCCTAAAATGGACTAATTGCATTGAAAAGCTAAGGCTCCAAAAATGCCAATGCCTAGCTTTGGTGCTTGTATGGAACATGAATAGGAGCAAGAGGGTACCATGCATAACTCTTCCCATCCCTGACTGGTGCAAAAATAGCAAGCTATGGTTCATGACAGTAAGGGTAACCTTTCCGTGCTAATTAGGCTTCCTGGCTTCTGAATGCCCCTTTTCTCCCTCCAGGGATAGCAGTCAGCTGTTGTCAAATACCATTTTGGCCGAGAAGGCTGGAGATCTTAGTCAGCTTGCATTGTACTCAAAGCTCATTACCATTCCAAACTTTGACATTTAGAGTATGTTAAGCAGAAGGAGCTAAATGCAGTCAGTGAAGGCTTTGACAGGATGCCTATGGATGTGTGTCTTTGCTGCCCCTGCTTGTGTCCCACTTCTGGATATGGAAAGACATGCACTAATCTGAAAGATGTAACTGAGATATGGGATGACTGTGCAGTCTGACCACTAGGGTTCCCCTTGTCTTTGTACTTCATTAAGGGAATTGGCAGATTATGTAGCTGTTCCCTGAATTGGCAGATTAGTTGCTGTCCTGACCTGGTCGCCCATATATCTTCAATAATGTTTAGTTAGAAACATGTCAAATAATTTTGCCCAATTCTTCCCTAGCTTTACTTTCATATATTGTACTTTCATCCTATGTATACTTCTATCCAATGAATTGGAAGGAGTAGAGGAAAGCTCCTAAAGGCATCATGTTTCTTTTTTCCCATTGTTTAAAAATTAACTTTTAACATTCTATAATGGTATAGTAAGTATACATTGCTTCCGGTGTGGCATTTGACCTCAGAACATTTCTGGTGTGCAGGGGTGGAATTCAAAAATTTTAGCAACCGGTTCTCTGCCTGATTCCTGGTGGCCATGGACATGGTGGACATGGCCTAGTGGGCCTCTTGCACCATGACGGTGGGGGTGTTTTCACCTTCCCCGGGCTCCAGAGGCTCTCTGGAGGCCAGAAACAGGTCCACTTTTGGAACTTCCGGGAGACCTGTTTTTCGCCCTCCCTGGGCTCCGGAGGCTTTCCTTGAGCCTCCAGGAGAGCGAAAATGGCCTCCCTGAGGCTCTGGAGACTCTCTGGAGGCTGGAAATAGGGCCGTTTTTGCTCTTCATGAGCCTCTGGGAGGCCCATTTTTCATGTCCACGCACTCCCTGCACTTACCTGGGACCTAAAATGGGCCGTGTGGGGACTCCTGGGAGGGGAGGGGCTGGCTGGGGCGGGGCTAGCTGGTCACCAGAACTACTAGTTCACCAAACCAGATATAAAATGAACATCCAGTTTGCCCGACCCGGTCTGAACCGGCTGAATCCCATCCCTATTAGTGTGTTTCTTGATTATGGCTTCCTATGAAAAGGTGGGGTCCTTTAGGTTTCTGGGACAAAAATTATGGATATCTTTGGCCTCTTTCAAACACAAAGTCTATAGTGATGAGATGTTTGAGCTATCTAGAAATCAGTTTTCACTATGATAAGTGATAAAATGTCTTCCTCTCTATTTGCTCCTAGGCTACTGACTCCAGAGACTCTCTTGCCATGGCCCTTTATTCACAGTGCTTCTCATGGATCATTGGAAAAATTAACTCAAAGATCAAAGGGAAGGAAAATTTTAAATCTGTGGGAATCTTGGATATCTTTGGTTTTGAGAATTTCCAGGTCAGAAATTAAGCTGTTGTAGATTGTAGCATGGACAAAGATAATAGTGATGCATGTAAAAAAACTAAGGTGACATCTGAAGATAAGATGAGATGGGATGGGATGGTGGTGGTGACACAGAGAGGATGATCAGCAAGATAAGGTCCTCAAGAAAGTTGTGAAACTTGGATAATGAGGACGGTTTTTTGGTCTATGACTGTATAAATTGTGGGATGTATTATGAGAGTGATTCACAAGGGCATGAAGATTTATTACATACTTCCTATAGATATGTCGGGACTACAAATGCCAGTTGTCACTAATATAGCAATAGTTACATGATTGCTTGTGCTTAATAGGTGTTGAAATCCCAATAAATCTGAAAGACAGAAAGTTATTATAGTCCGTTATAATAGAAGTTTCTCCTTGGGTATATGAACATGTTGTCTTAAACACACATAGGAGTATGGGTGTTGTTTTTGTTTTGTTTTCCTCAACACCAGGAGTGTCAAACTCAATTTCATCAGGGTTGTGTTTGATCTTGGGGGATCAGGGTGGGTATGACCAGAGTGGGCATGGCTAGCTCAAAGTCAATTGTTTGGTGGTGCCTGTGGTGGCCCAAGCGCTCTTCCAGCGAAACAGGCTCCACAGCCCTCACAAGCTCTGTTTTTGGCTGCAATGGCTTCCTGCAACCATCTGCCAGCGAAAACGGACCAGGCCTCTCAAGTTCCATTTTCACTGGCAGAGGCACTGCGGGCCAGTCCTTTTGTTTCCAGGGCGGCTCCATGGGCCAGATCTAAGCACTCCGCGGACCAGTTTGACACCCTTTCTCAAGACTTACTACACCTTTTGTTTTCTATCTTACATTCTATGTTTTGTGAAGTTTTGTGCCAACCCTTGCATCAATTGACATTCTAGGGCATAGGCTGATGATAAGCACATCCACCAGAACCCATCCTTGTTTCCCCAGTTCTTCACAGTCTCTGGGGGAAATAGGATTTTCCCCAGATCAAGATGAAAGAAATTAATTATTCGTTTCTTTTGACATGGACAGGTAAATCGTTTTGAACAGTTTAACATTAACTATGCAAATGAGAAGCTCCAAGAATACTTCAACAAGCACATCTTCTCCCTGGAGCAGCTTGAGTACAACAGGTACAAAAATGAGACTATCGAACAGTGGGGATATCTTTTATTTTCAGTTCTCGTTCTGGCGATTAGAAGAAGCCTTACTTTTGGCTAAAGGATGAGAAAGCAGCTTAAAGGAGGAAGAACGTTTGGTCACATACATTCTACCATGTGAAAGAGTATTAAGGAAATGGTACAGTATTATCCTTTTCTCCACTGGCTGGAAATTTTACATATATCAATGCTCCTTTTTAGTTTAAGGGTGGTACATTTATTCCTTTCTTCATTTTTCTCTTTCTTCTGTAACTGCAATGATTTGTGTTTTTTAACTGTTCTCTGCAAACGAGTGCTTAATTGGCCTTTGTATTTTTCTTTGACAGAGAGGGAATCATCTGGGAAGCCATTGATTGGATGGATAATGCAGAATGCTTAGATCTTATTGAGAAGGTAGGTCCTTCATGCTGAAGGGATTGGGGGAAGTAGGGATGGAAGAACCTTTACTCCTTTATGTCTAATTATGCTTCAACCTTGAACTGGAATAAAAGGACACATTTCTGTTAAGGACATCCACAAGTCACAAGATTTAGTTTGGATTCTAAATTCATAATTTATAAGATGGCCCACTTCAACTGAGATTCGTTGGGAGTTGACCAAATCAACTTGAACCACTTTACTATTTTTTTTTTAAAGAAGTCAACCCAAGAGCCATGGTGGCACTGTGGCTAGAATGCAGTATTACAGGCTAACTCTGCCCACTGCCAGGAGTTCAATCCTGACTGGCTGAAGGTTGACTCAACCTTCCATCCTTCTGAAGTCAGTAAAATGGGGACCCAGATTGTTGGGGGCAATATGCTGACTCTGTAAACTGATTACAGAGGGTTGTAAAGCACTATGAAGAGGTATATATAGTAAGTCTAAGTTCTAGTTTTATTGTTACAACTATTTTAATTCCTTAATGAAACCAAAATAGCAAGTAATACTAAGCCTTGTAAGAGGATAATGCTTGCCAAATTGAAAAAAAATCTGGGAAGTGAAATGATTAATGCACTAATCATCTCCTGCTTTGCCTACTGTAACATGCTGTATATGGGGCTAACCCTGGAAGCTACAATTTGTCCGGAATGCACTTGTGGAGGCAGTTATGGAGATTCCTCATTTTGCCCACATAATATTTTTGCTTTGGAAGCTGTGTTGTTTACCAAAGGTATTCCAGGTGCAATTCAAGTGTTGGTTGTCGTCTATAAAGCCTCACGTGACTTATAGCCTGCTTAACTATAGGATTAACTTTCCCCTATTCTTTCTGGTCAGTTGATAAGGTTTGACAGAGTTTGTAAGCTCCAAATCCTGCCTATAAGGCATTATTACCTTATGAAATCTAGGAGACACACCTTCTCTTTAGATGCACCTGCTCTGTAGAATATGATTTCCTTTTACATTTAAATGGCCCCAACTTTTGGGGTTTATATAAAGTTGCAAAACTTGGCTCTTCCAACAAGTCTGGGGTAAGATGTAATGATTTATTCCCTGGTGGCTATCATGATAATTCAATGGGAAAAAATGATTTGGTGAATAGTGAAAATGTAGTTTCCCCTGTCAAATATTTATAAAATCAGATGAATTTGAAATATATTTGTAATTCCAGATTGTTTTTTTTTTGGTTTTTTTACAGTGGGCTTTTTTTCAGTTATACTGCTTTTCCCCTTTCCCCCACTTGTTCTTAAAATGGAACAAGCACCACAAGGAAATGTTTAAGTTCAACTGAAAGGATTAGAAATGTCAATACTTAAAGCAATTAAGTTTCATTTGTATAATTATGGCAAAACAGCAGAGAACAATAAGCTCTCATATATTCTCTCCCTGCCCCTCCTCTCTCTCACACATACACCCTCATACAAGACTCAGGAGACTGGGGGCATCTTGGCTAAGAGTCTAAGCGATAACTGTATTCCAAAGGCTTATTTGGCCTTTGAGTGGGATGACATAGGCCAAAAAAAAGAGAACTACTTTGGTGCAGAGGTTAAGGTGCTAGGCTAAAATTTCAGATAGAGATTTGGAGAATATTTGTAGCTCCGGTTGTAGGTTTGGCAGGGATCCGAAGACCTAGATTTTGAGTTCTAGGCCTTCCTTGACATGAAAGCTGGTTGGTTGACTTTGTGCCGGTGACTCTCTTAGCTCAACCCTCAGAGAGTTGCTGTAGAGCTGAAAATAGGCAGTAATAATAAGTATGTTCACTGATATATATGTGTGTGTGTGTGTATGTAGGTCTAGGTGTGTTCAGGTCTTTTCCCATGTAAGATTAAGGGTATCCTGGTGACGTTTTGGTGAGGTCCCACTTGCCATCCTCAGGCTGGTGCTTTCAGCTTCATGCCAGTGCAAGCAGTGTGTGATCGGAGCTGCCGTCTCTCTATAAATACTGGGGGGGGGGCTGGTGTGCTGGGCTAGTTGGCTGCACTGCTGCCTCTTGATTGGTTGATGGAGTTGATGTTGGTATAATGGGCTGTGTGATGGCCTTGTGAGTTTTGTTGTGGAGAAATCCTGGTTCTTGTGCTGTAATCTCCTGGGTTGTTTGTTTTGTAGTGATCTTTTTTCCATTAGCCTCTCAAGTTTTAACGGCCTGCGTAATGGGTTGTGTGATGGGTTTGCGAGTTCTTTTGTTGTGGTATCCTGGGTCCTGTGTTGTAATCTCCTGGGTTGTTTGTGTTTTGATCTCTTTTCCATTAGTCTCCTGTGAAGTAACGGCTTGGGTAATGGGTTGTGTGATGATCTTGTGAGACTTATTGCTGTGCTATCCTTGGTCTTGTGCTGTGATATCCTGGGTCGTTTGCTGTGTTGCAACTTCTTGAGTTCTTGTGGTATAATTTCCTGAGTTTTCTGATGTGATATCCTGAGCGGGGGGCTGTGATGTAGCATTCTGGGTTTTAGTCTGGCTTTGAATTTGGGATCTTGGTCTGTGTTCTTGGCGTGTGTCAGCTTGTTTGGTTTTGGGGTTGGGGGGTGTGACAGCTGGCGAGGCAGCCGTGGTCTGTTTTCTGGATGGTGGTTGTCCTTGGTTTATAGGATGGGCTTGGGCCTAGGTCTGATGAGGGGGATTGGTGGTGGTGTCCCGTGTTGTTTCAGGTCTGGTGTTGGTTTTCATGGCTGGGACTCGCTTGTTGTCCTTCGTTTATAGGATATATATATGGAAAGAAGAAGAGGAGGCCTAAAGTAACCAAATTAAATTTAGAAGCTGATCGAGTTACTAAGAGAGATGGGCATGCAAAAGGATTGCCTTTAGATAACAGCAGCTTGGAAATCGTTAGTAAAAAAAGGTTTGCAAAAACTTTGCTTACTCATTTTTGCTCTTCAGATTTGGAACGATCATTTGGGCATATTTTGAATAAAGACTTTTTTTTTATGTCAGTCAAGTGCTCAAATCTATAAATGAAAGTACATTTCAGGATTTGCTGTTCAGTTTTGGGTATTTCTGCCAAAGCGAAACGTCCCCATTAAGAAAAAACACAAAGAGAAAATACACAAATTGATGACAGAAGGATTATGAGGTTGTCTGAATGCTCCATTAAATAACCATAATGAGCATTGCACATTAAAGCATCAAACAAATCTTTATAAAAGACTGGAAACTCTTTATAGACTTTTTTTGCTGAAAATGTATGAAAATGAAGTGGTGATTTCAGGATTTATTGATTCAAAAGATCTTTATATGGGAAGAAGGGAATAATAATCTGTAATTTAGAAGGGTGAAGATAGTAATCATTCTATTTGTAACTGCCACAAAGAAATTTGGAAGTAACTTCTTTAGGTATTTTTTCTTCTTTTGTTACCTTTCACTTTTTATTTTACTTTCTTTACTACCTTTCATTTTCTGCTTCTGAAGTTTTTTTTTAAAAAAAATAAATGAAATCTTATAATGAAATTTCATTTTGAAAAAGAAACAAAAAAACATTTGAACCAACCTGGATAAACCTTGGATTGTTATATTCTTATGGCTACTCCTCACTCCCAGCATGGTAAGAATGCTTGGTCAAGTGAAACACAGTTGTGAAAATATGGTTTTTAGCCAATTCTAAACTCTTCTGGAATTAAGATTTGACTATAGTACCCAGAATAATCCATTCTAGTGTATCTACCCTGTTCTTCTAAAGCTGTAGTTCCCATTTGGCTTAGCAACCTACTATGCTGTTTGTGGCAAAGGGTCTACCTTTCTCCTTGTAATACGTTTGCAGAAACTTGGCTTGCTGGCGTTAGTTAACGAGGAGAGTAGATTCCCCAAAGGCACAGACAGCACCCTCTTGGAAAAACTGCACAACCAGCATGGGGTAAGTAGGCGCATACACACCACTGCATTTCAGTTGCTTAATTTAAGCTCAGCCATTTTAAGAACTGAGATAAGGGAGAGAGGGAGGGAGGGAGGAAAGAAGGAAGGAAGGATCAAACCAGAGTTTCTTGAAAGGTAAGGTTTAATAGAAAGGCAACCCAAATTCTATTGGCCATCTATCAAGCTGCAAATGAGATGAACAAAAGAAGATAAATATTAAGGAGGAAACATTTATTTAACTGCACGGGACTCATTCAGAACTATAAAACTTAAAAACCAGATATGGAATTGGCCTTGGGGAAAAACTTGTCACTAGAATTATCTCTATGACTGGCATCAGCAAGTAGCATGTCCTCTGCATTTTGGAGCTGCTTACTCTTTATAAATAAAACTTAGAGGGCATTGCACTAATATAACCTTGATATTATAATGTATATTGAACAGGAACCAGTTCTGTATCTTCATTCCATGTGCCTGCTAATCAAAGAAGAGATAGGAAGATCAAGCCAGGCCAGGAAAGCTACTTTGGACACCTTCTAAAGGGACATTTGATTGTTTGTAGTGAGGCCCCAGTTGCTCTTCCTCCCCAAAGGCTGCCCACTGATAATATGTGGATCTGCAGACTTTCACTGATCTTGTTTCATTAGAAAAAATGAAAGTCAGGCAAAAAGCTCCAACTCAGAGCACTTGCCATGGAGGAGATAAAAGTATTCTGAAAGGTATAGTCTCAAAGTTCAGAAAATGACACTCATACTGTAATTAATGGAAAGAGAAACCCTCCAGGTATGTAATATACTTAATTTCAACATTTTAAACTTTCTTCCCTTTCAACTTGGCTGTTTTTGGCTTCATTCATCATCAGAACTATATGGATTTTTTAACAGGGTGCAGGGAAAGAAATCAAGCAGAACCTGAAATTCACATTTAATCTTTTCTGTTTTCCTTGGCTGGAATTCTACACTAGCTCTGTCATATGATAAAAAGGTTGCTCAGGCGATAAAGCTCAATTAGCTCTCTTCAGAGCAAAGCAAACAGAGTTCTCTCTTAAGCAAATGACCCTGAGAAATGAAAAGCAGCTAAGATGCAGTGGGTGGAAGTTAAAATGAGGTTAATAATTCAGGCAAGGATAGATTTCCTTGTTCAGTTTATTTTATGAAAGGTAAAACTTAAAAGAAATGAAGTGGACTTTACGGGGTACATGTTCTGAAGAATCCATGAGGGAATGCATATGCAGTTAGATGGAAAATGGACAAACAGTTTATAGGGAAACAAGCATTTATCTAGGATCTGCTGGCTGGGGAATTCTGGGAATTGAAATCCACATATCTTAAAATTGAAATTGAAATCCACTTATCTAAAAATTCTCAGGTTGAGAAACACTGATCTAGAAAGTTCCATCCTGGCTCCTCAGAATGTGAATTCTGCTCCCAGAGACCTTTGCCATGTTTCTTCTTTCAATGATCTATTTTTGGCTAAATTGTCATGGTAACTAGAGGCAATCTCCTTAAGTTAAATGACATATCCCGCGCCTAGACAAGTGGCCCTGCACCATTTCTGCAGCGTGCGGTTGTTTGCAGGTTGTGGTATTGCGAAGTTTCTAGCTGGAAATGTTACTTCAGGTGCATCTGTGATAACAAATGTACTTCCCTCACTTCTGTTTCAGAACAACCAGTATTACATGAAGCCCCGAGTGACAGATTTCCATTTCGGGATCCAGCATTATGCTGGAGAAGTAGGTACATTTTAGCTTTATAACTGAGAGGAAGCTGGCAGGATTCAAGAGCTTTTGAACAATAAGGCCTTAGCCTGCAATCTGCAATTCAAAGTAGGCATTTTTATGGTTGCAGCGGGCAAAAGGCCAGAGTGCCTCGGATTTCTTTAATTTGAACAAATAATAGGCTTATTGAGGGCTAGAGTGCATATTAGAATTGCTGTGGCTTAGAAGCTCTTACACACTATCGTGTTCAGGGCTTATATGCCCTTTATATCCTCTTTAACTGTTGAAGGTGACATACAGTCCAGCAATGTGCCAACTACGCTCCCTGTTTTAAGGCTGTGTAATCTGGGTAGCTTTTCCTGATCTGGCACCTGTGCTGAACTAGAGGATCATGGGAATCAAAGTCCAATAGATCTGGATGGCAGCAGGTTAGGGAACATAGCCGTAATGTAAACAAGCCACAGGTTCTTTGTTCTGGAAGAAGCGGTTTTGGGGCAACTGGGCAGGATCTTTGATGAGGTTTTAGTCATTACTGCCTGAAAATAGGCCATGGTCAATACAGGGCAGCTTGTCAAACAATTAGTGAGCTATTATGGGACTGATTTATCAGCAAATGTTTATTTTCCTTTTCCTTTGAGGAAGCATTGTGGCACACAGCTTCTTCCCTACCTATCCCCACATTTATTTCCCCCTGACTGAGGTGGGCTGGAGTAAGAAGTAACAAGTGGTTCAGAGTACCACGGTGAGCCTAGTGGCTGGGCTGGAGTTTGAATCTAGGTCTTCTGAGTCCCAATCCAGCATTCTGTTCACAACACTGGGTTGGTTCAGCTATTGCAGCTGAATGAGACTAAAAATGAGACTAAAAATTTGGCCCAGTAGTCTTTTTGGACAGCTACATGAATTGTGCAGCATTTTTTTTCCTCACCTTGTGTATCTGTTAAAAAAAATATGAGGAAGTGGGGGAGGAAGGACTCCATGCATGGCAAATTTGGTTATTTGTGTCTAACATTGTTACCCATAGGTCCTCTATGATGTGAGAGGCTTTCTGGAAAAAAACAGAGATACCTTTCGAGATGACATTTTAAACATGCTGAAGGATAGCAGGTAAAGAAGCTAGAGCCGTTCCCAGTGAAGCAGAATTAAGTTGCTAATGCTAAGGAGGGGGAGTAATATATATATGTATGGTATTCAGCTTTGTTCGGGTATTTTCCCATGTCATTATAGTTGTGCTTTTAAAGTTGTAGCAACGTTTCAGCAGAATCTCATCTGCCATCATCAGGCTTCTGTATACATACACACATATACATACACACATATACATACATACATACATTTATTATTTTTTGCACAGGGAGAGCTACTCCTTGAGTGCTCAGTAAAGTAGCTCCAAAGATGAGATGTGGGCACAGGTTTTGAATAGTCACTTGGGCCATTTAGTAGGCTGGGTACTTTGAACCTCTTCATAGCTACTGAAGGGTTACCTCTCCTAATGGCTGGTCAGAGGTCTCTGCTTTGTCTTGGTGCTTGTCTGCCCTTAAGTTCTAGTGCTTCACAAAGACATTCTTGATTCGCGTATTATCACTAGGGAAGAACGATCCATTCCCTGGTTTAAGACAGCAGAAGCAGCAGCCCGCGATCTCCTGTTTTACAATAACTTCCACGGCGTCCCTTTCTTTCTCTTACATTTCTCTTTCCACACAGGCTGGATTTCATCTACGACCTCTTTGAAAGAGTTGCTAGCTGCAACAGTGAAGACACTCTGAAGTTGGGAACTCAGAGACGCAGGCCAACTGTCAGCTCCCAGTTTAGGGTAGGAGCAGGAGGCTCATGAATGTGCATGTGAAAACGCCAGCAGAAACATCTCTGTAGATGTGCTTTTGTTTCTTTAAATCCAGTGAATCAGAGAGATGTACCATCAAGGATTCACACTGTAGGCCTGCATCGTCTATGCTTTCAGGCTCCGCTCTTTCATGTTTTTTAAGCTGCAAAACCTAAAAAGGATTGGGAAAGGAGATGGGATAAGCCAATGAATGCAATGCAATTCTTCTTCTATAGATGTCATAAAAGATGTTTCAGTATTCTGCATTTGTGCTTCTATAGCAGTTTTTCATGGCTGAGCATCAGCTGTAGGAAATGTTGGACCATGTGACAGCTAATGCTCAGCAGATTCTTTTTCATCCTCTCATATATATTTTTTTTAACATCAGAATTATAAATGTGTCCAAGGCACTGGAGAATGATAGTAAATCTGGTCCCGAGGATGAATTTCTCCAGAGAAATAACATCTCATGCTCTTTTCCAGGACTCCTTACATTCCTTAATGGCTACTCTCAGCACTTGCAATCCACTCTTCATTCGCTGCATCAAACCAAACTTGGAAAAGGTGACGCTCTGGGGGTGGGGAACGCCAGATGAACAGGGAAGGGAGGAGGGAGATTCACCATGATTTTCAGTGGCAGCTGAGTTGAAGCTTTGCTGATCGGAAAGGGTGTTTCTCCTTTTCTGAGGGATTCTGGATTCCCAGAAGAAAACGCTTTGTGTCCAGGGTTAGCACAACAGATATACAAGAAAGGCTAGTTTCTAAAAGGGCTGCTGTATGTAATATAAATACTCTGTTATTGCCTTTCCTTTAATACAGGGGTGTCAAACTCAAGGCCCGCCGGCCGGATCTGGCCTGCGGGGTGCTTAGATCTGGCCCATAGGGCTGGCCTGGAAACAGCAAAGGACTGGTCTGTGGTGCCTCTGCGAGTGAAAAAGGAGGTTGGGAAGGGGCCACGCGACCCGTTTTCAGCTGCGACAGCCTCCTGCAGCCCTCTGCCAGCGAACGCAGAGAAGCGCCCCCCCCCCAAGCTGTTTTTGCTGGCAGAGGGCTACTATAAAACAAACTAAAAGCAAAAGGAGAAATGTTTCCCCTTTTGCATTTGAGCATGCAAGAAGGGACAGGAAAGGAGAAAGGGAAAGTGGAAAGACAAAGAAAAAGAAGGGAAGATGGGAAGAGAGCAAGGAAGGAAAAATAAGGAAAGAGGGGAAGGAAGAAGAAAGGAGAATGAAGAGGGAAGGAAGGAAGGAAAGGAAGGAAGGAAGGAAGGTAGGTCGGTCTTGCACTTGGCCACCACAGGTGCCCCTGACACGAATGATGTTGAGCTGGCTATGCCCACCCAGACCCCTGAGGTCAAACACAACTCTGATGCAGCCCTCAGTGAAATCAAGTTTGACACCCCTGCATTAATACATTGGGAGATAAATTTTGCATTTAAAAATTTTCCTGAAGCCTAGTGACTGTTTTGTATATCTAATTCATCTCCTCTGTGTGCGCTTGTGTGTGCATTGTATATGTATGTGCATGCAGAACTAATTAATTGAGATGCCAGGAATGACTTTTGCAATCCACCTGTCATACAAGTAAATCTCTTTAAGTTGCCATCCCTCACATTTGGTTGGTCTCTACTCTTGGATGTTCTTTAGGCTCCAAATCTCTTCAGTCCAGATGTTGTGTTGAAACAGCTGCGATACTCAGGTATGCTAGAGACAGTGAAGATTCGGAGAGCTGGCTTTCCTGTGCGGCGTCTTTGTCAAGATTTCCTCTGCAGGTAAAGGAGAGACAGCGTATTTCCTAGGAATGGGGGTTGCAGAGAAAACAAATATAATTGTTTAGAGTAACTGCCTTCTATGGAGGTGGAAGCTTAAGAAAACTGCTTCTGTCCCATGGGTTTGAACCAGGGGTGGGATGCTACCGGTTCTGCCCGGCTCTATAGAACCGGTAGCTCTGAAGAGCAGGCAGACACAGAACCGGTTCTGTGTCTGCTGCTGTTTGGCCCACCCACCCACCCAGTCTCTTCCCTGACCTTTATTTCCTGCTTTTTCAACCTCAGCTGCTTTGCGCGGCACAGCTGAGATTGAAAAAGCAGTAAAAAAAGGCGTTTTCAAATGCTGAGCACTCGCGGGCAGCGCTTATCAGCTGTCCGGGAGGCACAGCTTTTGTTGTATTACACGCGCGTGCAAAATGTAAGTACCGAACTGGTAGTAACACTGGTTGAATCCCACCCCTGGTTTGAACAAACGGTCTTTTTCTTCTTTCCTAAAACCAGATAATGATCACATGTACTCTTCTAATCTGTTCAGAGGCATTTATATGCAGTATCTATCTTTAATTGAAGTATGGAAAATAAACATCCTTTCCGTCCCCGCCTCCCTGAAAACCATACTTGGTGCATTATTCTGCTGTCAGGTTAAATTTCATTTTACAAGTGTAATGCTTTGCAGCATTAAGAATTGTTGCAGTTCCTCTTCCCAGATAACAGATAACAGATCATCAGAGTTGGAAGGGACCTTGTAGGTCATATAGTCCAACCCCCCCACCCAAGCAGGAGACCCTACACCATTTCTGACAAATGGCAGTCCAATCTCTTCTTGAAAGTCTCAAGTGATGCCACTCCAACAACTTCCGAGGGCAAGCTGTTCCATTGGTTGATTGTTCTCACTGTCAGAAAGTTTCGCCTTGTTTCCAAGTTAAATCTCTCCTTGTTCAGTCTCCATCCATTATTCCTTGTCTGGCCTACAGGCGCTTTAGAAAATAGCTTGACCCCTTCCTCCCTGTGGCAGCCCCTCAAATTTTGGAAGACCGCTATCATGTCTCCCCTGGTCCTTCTCTTTACTAGACTAGCCAAGCCCAGTTCCTGCAACCGTTCATTGTACTTTTTCTAGAGCCTCAACATCTTTTTTATAATGTGACCAAAACTGGATGCAGTACTCTAGGTGTGGTCTTACTAAGGCTTTATAGAGTGGTATTAGCACTTCCCTTGGCTGATGCCCCTTGTATTGTTTGGAAAAGTTAATGGAGCCAGTTAAAAGACCTTTTGCTCTACCACAGCTCAGAAGCAAAAAGAGAACTAGACTAGGAGAACAGCTAATTGCATCTAATGCTAGAATTTGTTGATCCACACCTATTTCTGATTAAGAGCATTTGTTTGGTTATTACAGATACAAAATGCTTTTGAAGAATTGGAGCAACCCAGACAGCACAAGAACCACATGTACAAACTTTTTGCAGATATATGACAACACCCAGAGAGAATGGAAGCTGGGGAAAACCAAGGTAAAACTTATTTTTCCTAAAGAAGTAAATTGGGAATGCCGTATAATAATATTGCCCACAGTTACCTACATGTATGTTGATTATTAGTTTTAGAACTTTGACCTAGCTGGGCTGTGCACCTGCTGAGTCTCACAATTTTTTGCATCACAAAAATCTGAATATATCTTCATTTCTTTCTCCCAACAAGCCTCTTGAGAAGCATAACATGCACCCTGCTGTTCTGCTCAAGAATTCATTGGCATGGAATCTTTAGATATGATTGCTTAGCTGACAAGACACTACCGAGCATAAAATATTATATTTTTAAAAAATAAGCAAAAATCATTAGATCAGGGACAGTGTGCTGCTCTGACCCATTACTCCTCTAGTCCTGCATGTTATAGCTTCTCGACTCTCGTCTGTTCTTTTCCTATCTTGTTCCTACCATCCTGTCACATAAGTCAACAAGTTTATTAAACATGCACAGAGAATATACTAAATAGGTTCAACAGTGCATTGGAGCACCAATTTTCCCCAGATTTTGTCCTTTACAAAATCAGTAGAAGAGCTGTTCATCACTCTCTCCTCTTTCACTCTTATCATTTCTAGTGAAATTTATTCTCTGCTGAATGTTGATTTTGGTCAGGAAGGGTATTGAAGTGCCTATGTTTGTATTTAAATCAATACTTCAGTTTCTCAGCTAAGTGCAAAAATATTTTTGGAGATTTTTTTAGATAAGAATTTTACTAAATGTTACAATTAAAAAAGTTAAATGCAAATTTAGACAAAGAAAAAAATGCAGAAAAGTTTGGGGAAATGAGCCCAAATATTTCAGCCATTATTGAACAGTATAAATATCTAGAGATAGTATTTTATTCATTCACTCATTCACTTTGGAGGCTGCCCAACTTCCAGACAAGCCCAGGCAGCTGGCATCTCAAAAACAAGAAATAATAATCTAGAGAACACATACATATATGTCCAGGAAAAAAGCAACACAACAAAATCTGACAAAAAGAACCACCAGGGGCTCATAAGCTTCCCAAACCTCAGATCTTGGAGCAAAGCCACATTTTTAAAGAGTGGTGGAACGACTGGAACGTGTTTAATAAAACATTTGGAGAACTGACACAAAATACAGTGATACAGTGCAGCTAAGACAATGGGGTCAATAAGGAAATTTTTACTGAAAGGATGTAGATTAGTACATGCAGTAGGAAGAGTGTTCTGTTTGGAGCAGAAATCTGGAAAGAGGGGAATAGAATGCCCATAATTGTAAGACTTTAAATTTAAAAAAATCATACAAAATCAGTTCAGTTCATGGAAGACAAGTAAGCCTTCCATGGGAAAGTAAGAGCTTCCTATGGAAGGCTTCCTTGCCTTCCATGAACTGAATTGGTCTTATCCCAAGATAAAGTTCACATTAACAAGGCCTTGCTTAGCTTTTGCAAATGTATCTCTTTAGAAAAGAGTCTGAATTAACAGTTAGGGAAATGCTTGGAATTTAACCTTGAAATTTAATGAGCAATGCCTGCTGAGTTTCAGTATGTTCATTGTTTTGGGAGTAATACACTAGTATTGGATGGAAATAAGGAATAATATGCTATTTTTCAGGTTCATTATATAGAACTTCCTCTATATTAAGGATGTGAAAAACCTTCAGTGTATAGATCATTCTGGGCCTAGTAGAGTCAAGTTCAGGTGGTCCATGACTGGACCAACATACATTTGTTGCATGTTTTCAATCAAAATAGAGCTGGTAGGGACCTTGGAGGTCTTCTAGTCCAGCCCTCTTCTCAAGCAGGAGACCCTATCTCACATTTCAGACAAGGAACTGTCCAGTCTGTTCTTAAAAATCTCCAGTGATGAAGCACTCACAACCACAATCTGACTATGGAACATGCATGTTTGGTCCAGACTCAAATCCATACATGGGTGTTTCAGGTCTAAATATTATGGGTGCTGAAAAGGCAAAGCTGGCAGGGATAGGCAGGGAAAAACAAGCTATGGGGAGATTGGAAGAAGGAGCAGGTGAATGGTTGGATTGTACTGTGCATGACGTGAAGTGTAGGCAAGGGAATGGAATGAAGGCCCAGAGATGATTGGTGGAGGGACTAGTTGATATGGCAAGTTGGAGTCCGCTGCATTCAGAATCCATTGTAGGAGAGAAGAAAAGGGAAAGGAAGACAGTGGGGAAATTGTTTCATGGGCTGATACACAAATCATTGTGAGGAGGGTGGAGGGGAAAGGAGCTTTGACCTACTTGTCCCACAGATCTGCCCAGAAATTGTCTTGGTTAAAACCCAGAAGAAGTAATTCCTGGTTTTGGTTAAGATGGACTAAGAATCTTTTGTGGCTAAACAACAAAGCCACAGTTGTATGTCATATGTGGAACATATGGAACAAGGGATTCTTCCCCCATTTTATGCATGTCTACCAGTGCTCATATCACAAGAGAAATAGAATGCTCACTATTAAAATTAGGACAAAGGCCAATTAAATGCAATTAAGAATTCCTCCTGCTACTAGCATCACTTTCTTTATTTCATCCAACTAAGGCCTCTCCTACCTACAAAAGCCCTGTGCCAGATTTGTCCCAACATTTTCTTTAAGACTATTTTAGATGTTCAAAAATCTAAATCGATAAAACCACTGGGGAACCCAGTTCTGTAGGGCATTAACAAAGAAGTAGCTCAGCAATAGCCTGTGGTCCAAAGGACAGGGAACCCTCTTCATTAAAGAGCTTCTAGTGTGATCCAAGAAGTTGCTATTTATTTATTTATTTTTATTTATTGTATTTATTTGATTTGTCCATCTCTTAGAAGATAATCGCTATAAGTATAAACGTGAGTAAGAATACAGGAAATAGATATGAATAAATGGGGACCATAGGACAGGGACAGTAGGCACGATGGTGCACTTATGCACGCCCCCTGCAGACCACTTAGGAATGAGATGAGGTCAATAGTGGATAGTTTGAGGTTAAAGGAGTGTGGGGGTTAGAGGATGTAACAACAGAGTCAGGTAGTGCATTCCAGGCATTGACCAGTCTGTTGCTGAAGTCGTTCTTTCTGCAATCAAGTTTGGAGCGCTTAACATTGAGTTTGTGTCTATTGCGTGCTCTTGTATTGTTGTGGTTATAAAGTTATAAAGCAGTTAGGCCTAATCAGAATAATCAAGGACATTTAGGACTATTGTAATTTGTTTCTGTGTTTTTTTCCTGTCCTTTTCCTTTTAGCATTAGATTGTATTTTTCTTGGCAGTAGGCAGAATTATACCATGTCCTGCAGATGGGACTGCCTGGAGCAAAGTGGAGAGTGGAGAAACCTTAGGCTTCAAAGTAAAAAGGAAATGGCTGTCTTTCTGCCTGCTGAACACTTGAAGTTAATAAATCAACCTTAGAGCCATTAAAAGAGCAGGCCCTGAGTGACTGATGCGTGGACAGCCAGCCTTTGATCTCTCCAGGAACAATAGGACTTTCTCTCCTGTACACGTGTTTACGCTTCATGTTGCTGGACCATCTGAAAAGGACTGGCTGTCTCGGGTCCTGCATTAGTACAAAACAAACCAAGCTCCTTTTGGCAGTTCTAAAGTCCAACTTTGTAGGCCTCTCTTTGCAGAATGAGCAGGGCGGGGGGCATAGCATGGATGAAAAGATGCTTTTCTTTCCACTGAATGCTTTGTTTCATTATCTGCAGGAATAAGATAGAAGCAATTTTAGGGCAATTTTAAGAAAGATATTGGCAGGTAGATAAGACAGCCATATTCATGACCAGACAATGAGAGTTTACTCAGTAATGCTCACTGATTATACAAAAATAGAAAACCTGTAGGACACACAGCATTCTTTTTTTGGGAATAACATGGAGATGACAAGATATAAAAAAGCTTTGGGTTGGGGAAAATATCAGGTATATTAAACTTAAGCTGCATGTTCTTTTTTTATACCAATTCTCCCCCCCGCCCAACCCATTTGTACTATTTTCCGTTTGTGCTATTGGGATAGAAACATCTTCGGTGTCAGTTCAATGGGATGTGACTGTGATACCCTGTATGATTCAGGAAACTTGGAACATTTTTTAAACCCACGAGATTAATACTGGGCTGGTTCTCATAACCCCTTTCATTAGGGGAAGGCCCTTGTGGGGTTTGAGCAGAGAGTAGATGAGGGGAAGGAACGTGAATTGCATGAGGTTTTCCTTCTTAAATTTAGACCAGTAAATACATCAGAGATTGCTCCATTTAATAGCTTTGCCCAACTAGAGCACCTTCCAACCATCAAGCTCCTAGAATTAACAAAGAACATGGCCATCTGTAGGTCAGCAAGATGGCCCAAAACTTTTTACAAGGATGTGTTTTTCATCCCATTGTACTGCACAGAATACATGGGAGGAAACTAAGATTCACTCTATGAGCACAGCAGGTTTTTTTTTTTTTTTAAATCCAATCTCTGGTAAGAATGCCTGCATAATATATACACCCATATGGTTGGGTTATTCATATATGACTTCTTTAGATAGTAATTTGTTTACTATGATAGTATTTCTTTCTATGGTCTGTCTTGTAAAAGCCTATTTTGTGCTTTTTGATAATGACTCGATCCAACGGAATTAAACATTTCCTTAAATAGAAGTAAAAACTTAATCTGGCTGCATTTCTTCATGCTACTTACAATCATAGGAGTGGGGAAATGAAGCAGTTGGCAATTGTAGCCCAGGGCAGCTCAGGCTTTCTTTTCATCAGGTTTCTGAAAAAAATAATAATGAAATGGGTCTTGAAACAGTCCTGAGTTTATCTTATGAAAAAAGTGGTCCCTTTGTTTTGGCCTAAGGAATGGGCTGTAATTTCCTCAGCATGAAACGGCAGGGAAGCATAGCATCCCCCTTCATTTCTCGAGGCATTGTGAGATCGCAGGTACCGTGTCCCTGTCTAGTGAGCCTTCCAGGTGTGCCCTGTTCTGGTTCCTGCCTACGGGGCAATAGGGGGCCCTGTTAAGATGCATATGTGAAGTATGGGTGTTGGCTTCAACATGTGCTGAGCAGGATGGGGAAATGAGTAGGAAATGCTTCCTGCAACATGTATTCAAGGGGTATTTCTATACCGAGCAATTGTCTGGGGGAGGAAGGAAAGGGATTAGTGTAAAGAATTGTGGAGCACAGGAAAGGAAGAGGAAGGCAAGGCGGCCTTTGTATTTCTCATTAGGAGCAGAGCAGCTGCCAGTTGTGAATTGTGGAGGGTTGAGGTTTTTTCAGGGATCAAATGAAAGTACAGCTAATCAGAGAAGCTCTGTTCTGCTTCAATGCCACCTTTGCCATTTTGTACTCTCTGCTTCTGGTTTTCTTTTGTGGTAGATACATCTGAAATTTTTATGGGTTTTTTGCTTATAAAAGAAAGGCTGCTACATTGGTGCATAAGCAAGAAAATATATGCAACAATTGTGTTTTGTTATGTATGCATTGCTTGCATTCAAAGTTCTACCCCCCCCCCCAGTCTCTTTAATATTTCAATTCAGCTTATCTAGCTTATTTATGCAATTCAGTGATGTGGTGATTTCTCCTCAACTCCCAATACAGCTTTTGGAACAATATACATGTGACTGTGAGGTTCCTGCCACTACCACCACTTTTGAGGCAAAATGGGAAATGGAGAATTCTTTCAAAGAGGAAATGGGACATCATAGTGGTAGAATACTCTGGCCGTGCTACTCTTCCTGTTTTAGAGCATTGTCAGATCGACCCAGGTTGCTCTTGAGCAGAGGTCTTCAAACTTGACAGCTTTAAGACTTGTGGACTTCAACTCCCAGAATTCCTCCTCGAGCCATGTTAGCTCAGGAATTCTGGGAGTTGAAGTCCACAAGTCTTAAAGTTGCCAAGTTTGAAGACTCTTGCTCTTGAGGGTCTTAAGCAGAGGTCTCCAAACTAGGCAACTTTAATACTTGCGGACTTCAACTCCCAGAATTCTCCAGCCAGCATAGCTGGAGTTGGAGTTGAAGTCCACAAGTCTTAAAGTTGCCAAGTTTGGGGACTCCTGACCTTAAGGGAGTTGGAAAGCCAAGTGCACAGAAATAAGGTCTCAATAAACAGGCTGAGGAATGGAGTCCCATAAAGATTACCACTCAGCTGTGTTGCTAAGATGCCATTGGATGTCTTTTTAATTGTTTCTGGAAGAAGCAAATATGAAATACAATTGGAAGTGTGAAAGATTAGCCATGGAAGTGACCAAAGTAGAGTTCTGGGGATATGCCATTAAATTCTTTCATAGTTCCTCCTTAGTCCCAGAAGAATGCTACATTCAAACTATCAAGGCCTATCTATCTTCATCTTTATGAGTTTATTGTTTAATATACCTGGTTGAGGTACATTAAGGTCCATTATAAGGAGCAGGTATCAGTGAGTCAATTCAGTCACCCAAAGCAGAGTGGGTGAAGAAACCATTAAGACTCCATAGAATGTGGCCCAAAGCCATCTTTTATTGTCTCACTTCTGTCACATGTTAAATCTAAGATGCTTTTACACCCTTTGTGACATTGCAAAGAATCCTGGGATTCATCTTTTAGATAGTGCATTGCTTCAGTGTGGATTAAAAAAAAATAATGGTGTTTCAGTACGAAGACCTCCCCACTACCACACGCATACACTTTTAAAATAATAAACCAGGAATGAGAAGCAGGAGTGGAAAATTAATGAATGATTCCCAGGCCCTGCAGTTGGAATCGTAATACCTCATCTTTAGAATATCCACTAGGATTTAGTCCATTTATAAATCTGGTCTGAAAATTTGCATATAAAACATTGCAACCCACCATCTGTTAATGTGCATGTCAAATTAAGCCTGGCTCTTGAGGTAATTGTAGGAAGGGAAAAACCAATACAAAGGAATACTCCAGTTCTTTTTAGCAGGCAAGAAAACGACAGAAAGACTGGCATGGGGGAGAAATGCTATTTAGCAGCCAGAAGAGGATGATTTAGTGGTAGTGCAGAAATGGGTCTTGGGAGACCCTTCACATATTTTAACCAGTGTTCCTGTGCATCCCTCTCACCGTGGTCTTCTCTCAATCTTTATACACAGATGGTATCTTAAAACTGCTTTGGGAATTTTTAAATGGAAAGCTCCAATTACCTTAGAAAAAGATAAAGCCCTGTCAGGAAAAGGGTTAAACAAGAGTTGTAAAAGCAGTGCAGCCTCCTCCTCTCCCCTCCTTCCCTTCAACTCCCCCCACCCTCTTCCCCCCCCATTCCTTGAGCACAGTGCGGGGGTTGGGCTGACACTCCCTGCTCAACTTTTCCCTTGTCTGTTGGTGCTGATTCCCGAAAGGGAAGGGCTGGCGGAGCAGCAGGGACTGCTCCGCTGCAGGAGCGTAAAAGAAGCCCGCTGTGCCTGGTTACTCTGAGCAGGCAGGCATGGGATCTGCTGGGGCTGCCTGGGACTCGCTGTTTCCTCTCTTTGTGTTTGACGAAACTCCTCCCCGGGGTACTAGGTTTTCCTGAAGGAGGTTCTGGAACAAAAGCTGGAAAAGGCCCGGGAAGAGGAGCTGAAGAAGGCGGCCACCGTCATCCGAGCCCACGTCCTGGGCTACATGGCAAGGTCAGTGCCTAAATTGCCTGCTGTGCTTGGGCTGCATTGCTGCCTGCTTGCTGCGGCTGCATGCACTGGATTTCCCTCCACCCCGCTTCTTTTTCCTTACCTGGCTTCCCCATTCCTGCTCGAAAGCCTCCAAGTGTTTCTAAGAGGCAAAGTTAAGCCACGCGCTCTGACTTTTTCCTGTTGCATTTTTCGTCCTCCTTGAAGCTGCCCTTATCTCGATCCCTGGCTGGCTCCCTTCTCTCTGCCATTCATTCAAAGCTCCAAGCACAATCTCTGCTCTGATTTGGAACAGCTCAGTATCTAGGCCATAACGGCCCCGCTCCGTTCCTCTTTCACTCCGGGGGTCTCTGGGCAGAGTTGTATGCAGGCTTGTGTTTCATCCCTGCTCTGTGTCTCCCTTACCTATGTCTCTATTTTTAACTTACTATCGTCTCTTCTTCCATAGAGAGCTGGGCTTTGTCTCGGCATGTTCAGGCAAATTGCAATGTACTGCATATGCCCATTGGGACAACTGCTTGCCTTCATAGGTACAGCGGCGTTACTATAAGAAATAGATGGTATATCTTATAGGATTGCACATAGAAGTTAGTACTAATTTGGTGTGATTTGTATAGGTTTGTCTTAAAAGCAGTTTTAGACCTCCTTAAGGTTGCAAAGAAGACAAGCACCTATGAACAATACTCAGACCCCAACTAGGAGAGAGGCTCGCCCCCCCCATCTCCCCCTCCCCCCCCCCAGTCAGAAGCAAAATAGAAGTCTTTAGGTTTTGTTTATACCTTTGGTTAGTATAATATTGCTTGCAAACTATAGGGAATGTATAGGAATACTTTTAAGTTTTGCCAAGCAAACTAAAAGGGGGATGGTTGGGAACGGTGGAAGAGAGAGAGAGTGAGAGAGTGAAATGAACACGAGGAAGGTTCAGTATTCCTTCCTTACTTCCATCTTCCTCCAGTGCATGAAACCAAGCCCTTCCATTTCTCAGTCCATCAGTTTGATGCTAGCCTGGGTATGAGACTCCTACTGGCATTTATTTGATTTTAAGTCAAAGTAGAAAACATATCCAACACACCTTCCTCCTCCTATTTTCCCCACAACAACCCTATGAGGTAAGTTTGTCTGAGAGAGTGATTGGTCCAAGGTCAATGAGCAGGCTTTCATAGCCAAGGCTGAACTTGAACTCATGGTCTGGTCTCTAGCTCTGTGTTTTAAATACTAGATCAAACCCTCAGCTTTCAGCAGATTTTAAAATCTTACCTATATATCTTTGAGGAGAATAAGCCTCTTTGCAGGAAAGAAGTGAATCCATTTTTATTGATTGAATTCATATTTTAAGGAAGTTTTGATTCTCAGAGTCCTGCATGATACAGTCTTAGGGCTGCAGAACATGCCACTATTTACTGGCCCCATCTATCCCTATTTGGAGATTTAGGAAGTCGAGTTTGGCATAGAGAAGGTATATTTTGCATCGACCCAAAATTATTCCATTTGTTGTGCTTAGCACATCACATCACATGCATGACAATGAAAATGAATGGCAGTCTCAAGATGCAGAAACTCCATTGGAATTTGGCTAAGTTTGGGAGAACGGCAAAACAGCTTCTTAGAGCATTGTCTTTATGGAAACTTGATTGTGTTAGGTATTCAGAACAGACTTAACAGGGCAAAACAGCAGCTAGGGAAAATTTAGGAAGAAAGGTGATTATATTGGTGTGACCTCCATACTTGTGTGCCTTTTGACTAGGAAGAAGTATCGAAGAGTGCTAGCCAGTGTTGTGACCATTCAAAAAAATTATCGCGCTCACTTCTGGAAGAAGTCTCTCTTGCGCCTGAAAGCATCTGCCATTGTCCTGCAAAAGCACTGGCGTGGATGCCTAGCTCGCAACCTCTATCAAGACCTGCTGGAAGAAAAACAGAGACAGAAAGAGGAAGCTGAGGAGCAGAGACGAGAAGAAGAGAGGATTAGAAAAGAGGAAGAAGACAGGCAATGGCAAGAAGAGAGGGAGTGTAGAAGGAAGCAAGAAGAGAAGGAAAAGAAAAGGTACAATGGCTATATTTCTGAGAGATGTATGTCTATCTATCTATCTATCTATCTATCTATCTATCTATCTATCTATCT